CGGATTCGTGAACCTTCTTGTTTGCAAGTGCTCTTTTGCTATTTGCAGGTTACACTTTCCCTAACATGTCCAGCATCAACGGTGTTTGAAATGTATTCTTACGAATGATTACATAGCCCTAGGCATTTTGCGCACATACAGGACTTGAGTAATGCGTTCTGGTTTGTCGCTAGTAAATTAGCTACATGTATTTTATAGCACGGTTGCGCGGATACTAGACGTGAATAGCGTGCACCTATTGACGAGGTGTTATCATATCAGCTTTCGAATCGCGAAAAATTCTTTTCTATTGATAGGGGTAAGGCAATATTGAGAGGATGGCTTCTTACAATACTTATGTAGCGTTAATAATTTACCTACTGGAATGTAGTCTGACCGGGTAAGAAGTGAATTTTAAACATCCCTGCATTTCCATTCCTTCCTTCCTACTTTCCTTCCTTCTTTCTTGGAGGGCATTTAGCATATCGTCACTCCAAAATTAAGGTGGATTAGTAGGAGAACCACGGTATAAACCTCATGAGTGAACAAAAAATACATGAACGGGATGAAAGGCAAATTATTATCCATGTAAGAACGTGCAGAAGCCCAGTGGCAACTCAATCAAGAGGTTTAACATTTCAATGAAGTAAGTTTACCTTTGCGTATACCACTAATTCATCGGCTAGCATAGCGAACTTCTTGTGGCGTGTCATAACTGGCTCAAAGCAGTTAAGCCCGAAGTTCAAAGACGCACGGTAGAAACTAGAAGGAAGAACGCCAGCACGGCAATCTCAATTCCGAAGGAAAAAAAGGGCGGTCAATGTGATTCGAAGTTCAATTCGCCAAGCCACTGTTTGCAAAAGAGCCGTACCAACAAAACAGTCACTCGTATAGTGCAGTTTTCTCATTAGACAAATGTCTGGTGCCCACCTATGATAACTAGTGTCATGATAACAAAAGTCCAGGTCAATAATAGCAACTGCGTATGTAACTTAACAAGAGTATCTTTTTTTTCTTATGTATAATTTATTTAACTATGCGGGTGTCAGCAACTTAGAATATCCGAAGCCCGTAGACAGGAACGTTTTTTTAAGGGGGGGGGGGAGGGCACGTAATGAAGGCCTTTAAAACACATATTTAATATTTTTATCGGTTAAAACACCTTCTTTCATCCGGATTTCTAAGCTAAAAACCTAGCCCCCCTCTATCTCCCCCCCCCCCCCACTACGAGCCTGCAACATCCTAATTCTATACACGTCCCAAAACCACGATATTAAGACGAACGCTACAGTGGAGGGCTCCGAAAAGTTTGAACATCAGGTGTTATTTAGCGTGCACTGACATTGCACTGACACGGGCGTTTAGCATTTCACTTCCAACGAAATACGAGCGCCGCCAACGGATCGAACCCATGACCTTCGGTCCAGCAGTCGAGCACAACAACCACTGCCACAGCGGCGAACGTTCTTCTTATGCAGCGCTAGGGTGTAACTTAATAAAACGTTTGGTGTGCAACTATACTAGCAAGAAAAAAAATAAGCAGATAGGATAGGGCGCCATACATTCAACTCGTTTATTTTCCTCACATCACCCAAATTATTTGTATTTGTTTATTTATTTGTGTAAATACTGCCAAACCCAAAGGGATCATAGCAGGAGGGCATATACAATAGTTGAATACAACATAACACAAATTGTGACACAATGGAAACACCAACTAATTATAAAAAAAGTGCAACACAAGCGCGATTAGTGACACAATAATATAAAGAAAACACGCTCGCATAAAAAAACCGTAGGCAAGGGAAGGAAAAAGAAAAGCAGAAAAAGAAAAAGCATTGTGAGACTATGGTGTAAGTATTTTTACACAGTGGTGCTTTAGAGTGAGGCGACAAATGCATACTGTGGGGTTTCTGGTATTTGAAAAAAAAGTAAGAGAGACAATGGATGAAGAACTGTGACAGGTGTAGTTTCATACATCAAGAAAAAACTGTCTGTCAGGGTTCAAGGTACGCTTTCAAGTGCAGTTAAGAACTGTGTTAGTGATGCGCTTTCTATGATATGTAAGGGAAGGTTATTCCATTCTCTTATGGTCATTGGAAAAAATGAATTTTTGAAACAGTCGGTATGGAAAGTGTATTCAGTGAGCATCTGGGTATGGTTATGTCTGGTAGGGCGTGTTTGTAAACTTGTTATGAAGTTTGTGCCATCAATATTACTTTGTTATGAACTATTAAGTACATAAATTTCAGTCTAGCTATTCTGGCTCGGCGCTGTAGAGTATCTATACCAGCAATTTCCATTAACCCCGTAGGTGATTCTGTGGCCCATACTTGTTAAAAATAAACCGTATTGCCTTCAGAATGCTTCCAGAGTGCGCACAAAATATGTGATAGTCGCTTATGCTGTGCCTTATCCTTGTTAACCTTGTGGGATTTTAGACCAGCAAATCGTTCCGCCACTCACATGTTCAAATGCACGTGCAATTCTACGTTTCCGCCACGCAATCTTACATGCGTGGAGGCACCTCCTAACATTTCATGACATTATATAGTTTTTTTAACAGTTTCAAGCACAGTCGTGGCCCTGTGGTAAAACATCTGTCACGCAAAGAATGGAAGTTCTGTTTCCACTTGAACGGAATTTTTTTATCTGGATCTGTCTCGAATTTTCGCTCACTACCAAACACTGGAATTTATGCGAAACGACCTGTTTAGTACTCTCGCGTTAATTAATAAATAGATACATAGGTGATAAGTTTTGAGAATGGTGCATTTAACAAAAAAAACTGGCCGATTTATGACGGATATTTTGTTAAGTTATAGTGTTCGTAGGTGATTTTTCTTAGTGTTCTGAAAGCATACATGAGTTTCTTCTGAACCGATGCTAACAAGACAACCATTTCTGAGAAAATATACCCTTTAGAAAAAAATTATAACGTTAGTAACAGACACTTTTAACAACTTATAAATGCATTATTTGCACGATACAAAACGTCACTGTAAAAAAAAAAACACGAATTGTATACCTTTCCGACGTAATTGTTCATCCCCTGACTGCAAGCGCACGGCTGGCGTTAATGAAGTTTGCACCCACACTGATCGATGATGCATGTAAGAGCTAAGTATGCTGGTACTAAACTAACGTTGTCAAAGAGCACCAATTTGCAAATGTAGTGTACTTTTTCTGCCATCGAACAATGGTGTAGATGTACTTTTAGCAAGGGTGGAAAAACTATCTCCAAGTGACCCTTCTGCATGCCATTCATTCATTCATTCATTCATTCATTCATTCATTCATTCATTCATTCATTCATTCATTCATTCATTCATTCATTCATTGTAGGCTGCAGCTTTTTACAGTCGATACAGCAGTGGTGAAGATAAATGAACAAGTACAAGGCCAACGCACGTTGTCAGTCCAATGTGACAATACACCGAATGCCCGCACGGGGGTACAGTGCATGGTTAGAGTGCTCGGATGTTAACCCAAAAGTCGTGAGTTCGATTCCCGCTGCCGCTGTCACATTTTGATCATGTCAGTAGACGTTAAAGAACAGTGGATCGCCAAAATTCTCAGAGCCTCCATTACGGTGTGCCTCATAATCACACTGAGCATTTGGCACGTAAAACCTAAAATATTATTCTTATTATTGTGGAATTGTACAGAGATGAATCAGAAAGCAAACTTTGCAACAAGTATAAAAAAATTTTAAAAAAAGTCACAAACACAAAGCGTAAGGACCCACAGAAATGAAGAGACTAAATGCAACCTGCTTCAAAATATAAGACACGGACAATAAAATTGATTCTCCTGACGCCCCTGCGTCAATTTAAGCTTGGGTGTGGGAGTTAGTTTATTTAAATGATGCTATCGGGTGAAAAAAAAGAAAAAAAGAGCAATGATAGGCGTGAATTCAACGTTCGGGATAAATGCGGTAGTCTTGAGTTGTTTTTTTTTCATCCGACCTGCCTTGATGTATTGTGCTGCCTGAAGGAATCAAAATCTCTTTTTTCCTTAGTGATAATAATACTAAGAAGAATAGCACTTGAAGACTTGGAGATTATAATGTTATGATTAGAGGTTGTCCATGTTGACTGAGTACTCAAGCTAATCACAGACAAATAAGTATCTGCCATAGCCTTTGTAGGTAAACAGAATTGCCTTATTTTGCACACTTTCTAAGGGCTACTATAAAAGTGACAAGTAAGCTGTTCAATCTTACTCATTTGAATTATGAATACATGATTATAAAGCTGATTTAAGGGTTTTCAGCTAACTGCCGTACTAACTCAGGCAGTTTTCATATACCCTGTGTGAGCATTGCCAACCGCACACTGCCTTAGGCGTGCACTAGAAAAAGAGAAACAAGAGAGAGAGAGAGAAATAGGGGAAAAGGAAATACAGGGAGGTTAGCCTGGTACTAGTAGCTGGTTTGCTACCCTGTGAAGGGTTGGTGAAGTAGTGGTCGGTAAGAGGAAAAACAGAGAATTAAAAAAAAACGCGTGCGCACACACGCAGGACGTTCCGATTATAGTTGTTACAAGAGACCAGTTGAACGCAGTAGCACTTGCACAGCCTTCTATATACTGGGACGTTAGGTCTGGTCGATGATGCAGAATTCTTCCAAAAGCGTTTGGTCATCCAATTTTGAGTGCGTTGCACAGTAACTGTCTCTATCGAAAGTACTGGGCCGCCGCACATAACATGTTGAATCGTTTCACGATGCCGCAGTGGTCACATGCTGCATTGACAGCCTTTCCTAAGCTGCACGCATGCGTTCGTAAATGTGGCACCCAACTATAATCTACACAAACAAGAAGTCTCTTATGGTATGAAGGCACTTTACCCAAGGCATTACCTGCTCGTGCAATACGTCAGCTGAGCTCTTATGCTGCGTTTATTTGCCATATATTGATTCAATTTGTCATTATTTCCAACAGGTTAGGGAAGGAAAGAAAGCTGCAACAGCAGCTTGAAAAGCACCACCGGCCATTATACCTGTATACACCCGTTACTCTTAATATATTGTTTTTGCTTGTTTGTTTCCAGGACTGAAAATGGTGCTCATCTTTGTGCTCCTCTCTGCAATCACGCATCGTAAGTATCCTGTTTCTGAGATGTTGATATGCCGCCCCCGTCGGCACGTGCAGGCTTGGGTTGGTTAGTTATATATTTAAAATTGACTGAAAATTGACTATATTTGACGGGTTACTGGAATACTACAACTACAAGCTGTGAACTTATTGCTTCTTAATTATTTGCCTAATTTTTTTTTGCAGTATCAAGTGCTAACTCACCACCAAAGTTTACAAAAACTATTGACCTTGCTGTGATACCCGAGAACACGCCAATTGGTAAGTCCATAGATGATTACCTTCGGTCAGGCATGACTCGGAAAGCATAAACTTCAAATTTTCCTGTGTCTATTACGCGTGAACAAGTTTGGAAAGATGAGAGCAATTATAATTAGTTTATTTGAAATAGTTTTCCTTAGGCACATCTGTATTTCGCCTAGAGGTTCGGATCCCGAAAATTCGCCAGTTTACTACGGACTCGAGGGAACTGACCTTCTTTCAGTTGACCGGGCCACCGGTGACGTCACTGTGATAAACAACATCGATAGAGAGGTACAGTATAGCTTTAACTTTGCGCGGGAAATTCCAACTGAAAGCCCAAAGCTCATAAAAACGTGGTCTTACCCGTTTTTACGCATTGTTTATATGTACAACGTTCACAGAAACCACAAATAGATTGATGTAATTTTGGAAGGCCTTAAAGAACGTCATAATAAATACAACAGGTAATATGTGTATTTTAATGGTGCCACCAACACTGTTTAAGAAAAATAGAAGGGTCATGTAGAACTTGAGTAAGTTTGGCTCACTCTAAAAGCGAATACTTCTCACGGTATGTAAGAAAATTACAGTGGTGTGCGTTTTCAATAAATTGTTGTTGAGAAACATTTATCGCAAACGTGCTGATTACGCACTCTAAAAAATCCAAGAATGAATGTTAGCGAGAAAAACAATCAGCGCTTCTTTCTTCATTATCTGGCAGAATATTTAATGAAAGAAAAGCTTTCGTGGAACACATTCGAACTGGTGGAACACATTCGAACACATCAGCAAAGAAAAAAACGTAAATATTTTATTTTGCAATCGTTTGTACACTATATAGTTTACATCTAACAGCAATCTTAATACATTATCATAAGCCTAAGGGGAGGAGCTGACGTTAACGAATTTAAAGAAAATTGCTTGAATATAAGAAATTCCCTTGAAGTACATTGTCTACTTTATTTTCAGGTAACGGATACATTGAAGTTCTCTGTGACCCTTGAGGATATCGTCGGAGGACATGACCAAAATAACATTGTGAGTACTTCCAAGTTTAATTTGTCTGACTTTTAGATGCTCATGTAGTATTATGACGCAATCTACTATTTTCGTTTTTTTCTTTGCTTTCAATGTTCAGGTCAAGGTTCCAGTCAGCGTCATTGTTCTGGACGTCAACGATAACGCCCCGACATTCGAAACATTCCGTACGATGTCAGAATCGCCGAGGTTGGTCCTATTTTTTTAGACACGCTTCATTTTCTTAAACAATAGTGATATGCGGCTTGTACATGTGTAAACAAAAGGTAAAATACGCACAAACTGAACAAATTCACCACTTCGTTCTATAACGCATTGGCCTCTGCTGAAGCAGGTCATAAGATGAGCAGTGGTTGGAACACGTCACCTCATGGCATAGTGTTCGCTTACGAGAGTTACGCCCGTAATCATAAAATGCTTACGCAAGCTTCAATATGCTATGCTTATGGCTTTGTCTGAACAGTTAGGCTGCTAAAAGATTAAAATAAAAGTTGCACAAACTTTTTTAGCGAACCATCTGCCCATTGTTCACTCCACCACCCTGTCGGAGCAGGTAATACTTGCTTGTCGCCTATACTACTGCAATGTAAAAGGGAGATCATCCGAACATTTTAATATATTTATGATGCGTGTCGGTCACGTGAAACAGAGCATTAACGGGGCAGAGGATTTGTTTGCGTTACTACAACAAAAACATAGAATAGCCCCTAGGTAACATCCTCATTCTGTAACGTTGCTGTCTGCTTAAAACAGCAAGTGAGCTTTTAAAAAACTTTGTTTTTGTCTATTGCATAGGACACACCAGTAGGACACACGGTGCTGAATAATATCAAAGTAACCGACTTAGACACTGCAGGGAACGTGCTTCAGGTTCAATGCTTCCCCAACGACATGTGAGTAAATGTGTTAATTAACTTTCCTGTCTCCAATACAAATTGTTAGGACGACCTCAAAAGTGTTTCTTTTTTTTTCTTCTCGTAGAGGACCAGAAATAAGCGAAAGTGATAACATGCTGAAATTCATGTAGTATGAAAAATCTTTCCCTTTCAAACTTCTGGGGTTTTTTGTTTTGCTTTTTAATAATCGGTCACTATCGACGCTGTGGGCTGAACTATATGTAAAAATCAATGGAACACTACTTAATTGGCCCGGCAGTGACTTTTGATTCAAACGTATATTTATGCAGCCACCATACTGTATAAAACAATTATTTGTAGTTCTGTGTCGTAGGGTTGGGTTGAATTTGTTATTACCCAACTCGATTCAGTTGTTCTGTGGTACCACGCACCGTAAAGAAGCCTTAAAAACTAACAAACAAACAAAAAGCAACTGAGAAACGTCTTTCTTATGACGTTAGTTCTTGAGATGATGCTCTTACAGCGTGATGTGTTTTTAGGTGCCTGAAGCTTGCAACACGTTCGCCGTGGTGGTCACCAGGGCCAGTTCCCAAGAACTGGACGCATCGTTAGTGCTACGAAAGCCCTTGGATCACGCTTCTCGTCCCGTGTACGAAGTTAACCTTGTTGCAGACGTGAGTCACTCATGTGTGTCCTCTTGTAGAAGCGTTCATTTTCGTGTTCGTATCCAAGTGAAACCGCATATCTGCGGTATAAGAGCCAAAAAGTATTAGTACGTGCCTATAGGTAGGCGCAGTATGCTTTACGCCTATTCGTTCGACACCGTTTTTGTAGCGCTCTAAGTGTCTCATTCGTTCATGAAACTTTCATCGTTTTCTTTCATGGGGTAGTATTTTGACAGCAGTACTGATTAAAAAAATTGAACGAGTTCAGAATTAGCTTTGCGTTTCATATATTCCGCGTACTCCCGGCATTCCGTGTAACTTAATTACGTAATAAGGCAAGCCTACAAAAACTTGAGCAGCGCAGGATAGTATCAAGATTAGGCTTCATCATGGGGACTTTAAATTATCATGGGACCGTAACTTTCAACATCCTTGAAAACTTTCAGCCAGAATGAATCACAGCAAACGTTTTGCACCCAGTTAGCCACACATAATGTCCACAAGTTTGCTTTTTTTTGACGCGATTACTTATTGGAATAACTTGTCCGAGGACGTTGTAAACTCTGGGTCGTTGGCTTCATTTACAGAGTATATTGTGAGTATTACTTTTTTGATATATATATATATATAGCATCGAACGCGTAATTCGAAGGTCGTAGGTTCGATTCCTGCTCACAGTTGGTAATTTTCATCCACTTTTCTTTCTTTATTTACATTCCATTGATTTTAATAACTTCCCCTGTACATTCCTTGGCATTACTGCTGTCTGTATATCTCATTAATATTGTGTTAAAACACGGAAAAACGAGCCCTTAGGTATACACTTCTTTCCCTTATATATATATATATTATATATATATAATTATATATTATATATATTATTATATATATATATATAATATATATATATATATATATATATATATAATATATATGTGTGTGTGTGTGTGTGTGTGTGTGCGTGTGCGCGAATGTGTAGGGTGCCTATACTGCTGAGTGCTGTGTTTCTCGACTTGTTAATTTGCTATGTATTATTTTTTTAACTGTGCATTATATACTGTGCATTTGTATTTATTCTCTGTTTATATTATTTGTATTCACTCCTGCATGGGCCCGAGAAGGGCCTGATGTACCTGTAAAGAAATAAAAAAATTCCAATAGTAAGGAAATTACTAAGAGATGCCACACGTACACAAAGGCGCTCTACTCCTGGTCTGTGATGACGAAGTTAGTCAGGCTTGCCGTCATGCATATCATGTGCACACTGAAAACTTCAAACTAATGTCAGCAAGACTAGCTTCAGTCATTCACAAAATGTTCGAAGTATTACTGGCTAGCTTTAACACCTCGTAACGTGGCCGTGCTCATGCAAGAACAAAATATATCCTCCTACAAATGAGTCAAGCTCACTATGTACCTGTTCCCGGATGAACGCTCGGTTTAGACGGCGCGTCACAAGCAGCAAAGGTGTTTACTCCGACAACCGCCGGTTCTCGCGACAGACGTGGCCACGTTCTCAAGGATAACTTCTTCGCAATGCCCACAGCGTCGCATTCTACGATACACGTATACAGAGACAACCACCTTCGCTTAGTGTTCGTGACGCTTCGACCACACTGCCAATGCTGCCAGTGGTTCATGTGTCCGCCAGGTCCACCTCTTGATTGTATATGCCGCTGCAGGAGCAGAAATTCGGCATTCTGCGGCGGTGGTGGTCGGCGTACTTTTTTTTTTTTTTTGAAACGGCAAAAGTCAGACTTGGCAGGCTGACATAGAAGGCGTTAGAGGAAAGTAGAAACGGACAGACGTAGAAACAATTTTCTGCCGTCTCAGAAAAAAGGGGAAAGAAAATTTGGGGGATCCGTAAGCTTAGCCTTTAAGAGTTGTACGCGATAGCCATATTCTGTCCCTAGTGCGTACTTCAACCACTTAATTTTATCCTATGATGTTACTCGAGAAGTTTAAATAGTGGATTTCTACTATGTAATTGATAAAGGTGAAAGTGGCTTGGGTCAGTGAAGCTTTAGCATATGGATGAATTCTGTGTAGGCCTAATTGGTAGGATGCTTTACACCAGGAGCAATCACGCGCGTGAAATTTTTAAGCAATCGCTATGCGCCTATTACGTGTTCGTAAAGGAATACGCGCAGTGACGTTAGTTCCTTTTGTATTGGGTACCGGGCTTTAAACCACGAAGTCGTACGATATTCACATGTTCTGACGCCCGAAGGCAATGTGCGCTTGTACCACGGAATATTACTGCGGTATTATTATTGTGTTGTCAAGCCTGCATACTGGACGAGTGTATTTGTAAAGCATGAACGTTTTTATTTCACAGCATTTCCAAGCAGAGGAAGTTATTTCAACAGTATTTCGAAGCAGAGACATTACTGTGCGGTAGAACGCCTGCTTGCGTCACAAACGTCCTTAGTTCGACTCTCACACGGGCCTGGAAAATTTTCTTATTTATTTTATTGGCATTTTGATTTTTCGGTCACGCACAAGGTGATGACTTTTTGCTCACAACCAACTGACACCGATGCCGGAATTTCTGCGAAACGAGCTCTTTAACGCTATCACGTTAAAATGGAAGAGGCTACGTGGACAGCGTCAGAAACTTGTAGAACATACGCACTTCTGTAATTATTAAAGTTAAACAATGATATCGCCCCCCCCCCCCCTACAGAGTTACAGGAGAAGTGGAAACCATGCCATTGCTCTGCATGCATGTATTGTAGAAACCTACGAACATCCAAGTTACGTCACATTCATTTCAACGAAATGTCTGGCCTTGTGGGCTGCTGAATGTTAGTCGGAATAGAGGAACCAAAAATTTGATGGAAGAATTGAAGAGTATTGTGACAAAAAAAAAACGGTGACACTGAGTGGTTAGCGCCAGACCATACTGAAGGACAATACTGTGTAATAATTTTAGCGCGATATGCAGTGCATCTTGGAAGGGGACAGGGGCTCAAAACAAATTCTTCCTCCGAAAGTAGTCTCGCGTTGACATTCGCCGCGAAGGAGGTTCGACTCCGTCGCTTGCGTGTGTAGTCTATGCTTAGAATATACGTCATCGTATAAATTTGTGGAAGCTGCACTATCTTGGCTGTCGGTCCGATCGTTGAGGTTCGTTAAGCTTCGAGTGCATGCCCCTTCAAGGCCATTTGCGTGCCAAAAGTGAGCCGCACCGTTTGAGTTTCAGCGATGTAGGAAACCCATTATTGCTTTCGAACATAGGGACACGACTGTGAATGCAGTCTGGTTGAGACTCTGCATTGTCTGTGGAACTTCTGATCGAACAGCCAGAAAGTTTGCATCTGCTTGTCGGAGCCCTAATTTTACAACAAAAGTATAATGCTAATGTAATGTTCGTAACAAAAAATTTCAGCCAATCGCTATGTTGGACATATCATTATTGAAGCCGACTGACCAATGGCAAAACGCTTACGAATGAAAACCTTTGTAAATTCGGGTGAATGTTTTATCCACACATGATTGGTTGAGGCTCGAGCAATGGAAGACGTACGAATCTCGACTAATCACGTGCGGCCAAAATGTTGTCTCGTGCACTGACTGGTAACCCCTCATACCACTCATTGATGAAACACCGCACGCCTAATGTGAAACTGCGACAAGTTATTAGCCATTAAAGGTAGCTTCTCTCTTCTTCGGTTAAACGTAAACAATAATTTCATTTTTGACATTGAAGCCAACGAAAATTGCACCTCTTGGTTAACCTTTTTCTGTGTTCGTCCTTATAAACGCAGTATAATATTTCATCTTAGTCATATTGTAGAGACAGGGGATTTTTCTTTGCTCTTTTTCGCCAGGATGGTTCTTTTAATGCCACTACAACGGCTGTTGTAAAAGTGTCAGATGTTCAAAACCGGCCGCCAGTGTTCCTCGGATCCCATTCTGCCGTCGTCAGTGAAGACGTCCCCGTGGTAAGTCATGAAATTTAGCTGGGCAAAACATTTATTTTGCTCCATAGCGATAGAGTGAAAAGAACCGACCATGTGTAAACTGAGAAATAACTGAGGATCTCTGACATGTTTGTGAAGACAAATCTAAGCTTCGAAAACTAGCTACAATTGTAACATTTTCTTCTACAGAATAGATATACAGCTATGTGTATGGATTTTGTTTGTATAAAAAGGACATTAAGGGCTCGTTCTTTAGAGATGGGGTTGGGTTTCCAGCCGCAAATGGAGAAGCTGTAGTTATTAAGCAGCAATTATTTTCTTGCTAAAGCAGCTTTGCCAGGCACTTCATGACAGTGCAGTTACCCATTTGTGCACTTCCTTCTTTTCCAGGGAACTTACGTGATGACAGTGAAAGCAATTGATGGTGACCGAGGAGTCCCAGGAATATTCGCTACTCTATCGTTTCCAGTAAGGATGTTCCTTCATTTCGACATAAGTAGCCAACAAAGGGCCCTGACAGTGCTGGCTCGTCTGTGCATATGGGTCGTTTGTGAACGCTTGCTCTGGCAAGCAAGGTGCATCGAAACGAAGAGAGTGCGTATATGACGGCGTGCCCATTCGGCATTGCGTGCTCAGATGCGAGCTTTTGTTGCACGAATGAGTTCCGGTAGATCGACTGAATACGCAGCAATGTACAGATCCGACCATAATATGCTATTTTATCAAATGAGCGAGATACATCATCAATTGCCGATATGTAGCCCTCGCTTTTAGCTTTAACCGTTGCAGGTATGTCGGAAGGTAAAGCAAAATATTTTAGATGTGAAAGAGCTTATGGCGAAGTTATATCCGGTGTGCGCCTTGACCTAATTTACTGCGCATGCGGAACAGCTGACCCAAGCACTGCTAAAACGTGATCACGCACTAGCGCATTTCTCTGTAACGGGCCTATATAAGGGGCTGCATAAAATTTTGTGCATCTCCCTCTTACACTATCAGCAATCATGCATCATGTAATGGCGTCGGGGATCGAGATTCTGCAGACGCGCGATGGATAAACGCGTAATATCCTACTCAGAACGCGCTGGAACGTGCTAGCGCGTTCGGGCCTACGTAAGCGGCCGTTTAAGAGGCTGTGGCTTCTCCTCCTTACACTCTTTCAACAATCCCGTGATGGCGTCGGGAAACGAGGTCCTGCTGACGCGCGATGAACACACGCGCTCCCCGTAGAGGTGCGATGAACTCGCGTGGCGTGCTCCAACAAGAGTTCGAGACGAGTAACAGCTACGGAAACTACAGTGGATACATGGTGTGCTCCACTTGCATGGACGCGTTAACATCGGACAAGGTGCCCGTGATGAACAGCACTTTAGGTCGAACCATGCGCTGCTTCTCAAGCTACTCACGCTTCACTTTAGTGAAAGACGGTTTAACTTGTTATCAGAATTGTTCTAAAGCACGCCTGGAAAGGAATTTATGCTTTACTCTGCCACCAAAACGGTTGGCAAGGCTAAATCATGGCGTGGTTCTACGATCGTGTGTTCCTAGGACAAAGCTCTTTCAAATAGTTTTTCTTCGTGCCTTTAAATGCTAAAATATCTACCTGTAGGGAATTTCACGTGTAATGGCGTCTTCCTGCTGGAAAAGTGCCTCAAAGTGTGTCAAGTTAAACAGCACGAAGTGAGAACAAGAAAGGCGCATAAGCAACAGGACAATAAACATCAGCACTTGTTCTGTTTTTCGTCTTCGTCCTTCGGGCTGTTCAAGTTGCCCAGACAAAAGAGTGCTTAAAATGCATTTTATGTAACCTCTACAGCTCGGGCAGTGACGCCGCCTTCATGATTGTAAAAGAAAGAAAAATAAAGAACCGATATTTCAGTTCACCCCACGTTGCATTAAATATGGCCAGTAGTGGGAGCTATAGATGTCGAAAGAACTGATCGTTTCAACGCACCAACTATAAATAACTATAAAAACGCTCTTAGGAGTCCCTTTGCCTCTTTCGTTATTCATGACCAGCAAATAAGCCAAAATAACCTACTGCTGGCAAAGCAAATTGACATTGGCGAAGGTCTCTGATAGCGCAAATTAAGTGAACTAAACGTGCAAAATAGGACACAGCTCCAGTGCTGTCATGTCCTCTGCCAACCTTTTTCCTCTCATATTCGGCCTCCTTTTCCCGTTTTATCCTCTATTCACAGCAAGGTAACAGTTGACCTTTCTGTCCACAAATTTTATCAACCTTTCCTTATTGTTATTTTCTTTTCATTCTTTCCTCTTCCGAAGAGACAGGAATTTTGTGTCGCTTATTTGTCACGCAGATACGATAATTTCGATTTGGGTTTTGGTGGACACGCCATAGAGTTCTGTAAGTGTTCTGTTTATTTGTTTTCAGATCCAGAGAACTTCTTCACTATCAACAAAATACGGGAGTTATAACAACTGCGAACTTGTTGGACAAAGAGAAAACTGAGCTCCTCGAACGGCGTGGTCACCGTCAAAGTAAAAGTAAGTGAATCCTAGACAAGCATCGTAACAACAGCAGTGACGAAGGCGAAAGCCCTAAAAGATTTCAGTCCCTTCAGTATGTTTCGGGTATTCAAGCCGGAGCTGAGCTTCGGGAATACTTTGGGAACGATAACTGTCGTGAAAAAGAAAGAACAAGAAACTTCACAAGTGGTCTGCACCATTGCTGAGGTTATACGTTTGCACACCGTATGCAGTACCTGTTCAAAACCGCGCAAATCAGATATCGAAGCATGCCTTGTTTGACGTAAATGACGTACACGCTCTTCAACTGACTTTTTTCTTGCTTTCTAATTCGAATAGTTGATATATATTGATATATGACGCGCTTACCGTAAACACAATGACGCCCTGCGAATTGCGTGGTTCTTGCTGAATATTATGCGAGTAATAAGAAAGGAAATATCGCAGAGCCCGGAAATTGTGACTTTGGCGTGATCTTTCTGGAACAATGCCTCCCTGCGTGGCGTGTCAATGCGCAGGCTTCGGAGCTGGAAGGAGACCGGCTACTGGACGAACCGGGATCGTCGACGACCACCGCGTTGGCCATTACGGTGAAGGATGTGAACGACGAGGCTCCCACGTTCAGCCGGCCTAGCTACAGCGTCAGTGTGAGCGAGAACATTCCTCCCGGGAGCCCACTGCCGAACCTTGACATGTTCGTCCAGGACACGGACACGGTGAGAAAACGATGCTGAGCGCTAGGCCCCTTTCTGTGCACGTTTATGTCCGCTAAGAGATATATCGTAAAAAGAACTGTGCATTCTCATTCACCATCTTTAGCGAATCTGCAGGTACGTGTTACTGGCGAAATACATTAGTTTCGAAAATTTCAATTTAAGTACAGCTTGTCTTTTTAACAGGGCAGTGCCCAGCAACGCGCAACAATACATCGACTGCTAGTAGAAGCAAAAGAAGGGCAGGCATTAAGCATTATTAATATATCCGAAGATGTCGATAGACAGTAGATGTGCAGCAAAGTATTTTATGTGATCACATCGAAATTGTCGAAGAAATACCCAGTGCTCTATAGACGCAAACATAAAACGTCTGTACCTTTTCAATATCTTTACCAAGCACTTTCACCTTTTTAGTCACCTGAGTAGGAATGTATATTACTTGCCCCGCCGCGGTGGTCTAGTGGCTAAGGTCCTCGGCTGCTGACCCGCAGGGCGCGGGTTCGAATCCCGGCTGCGGCGGCTGCATTTCCGATGGAGGCGGAAATGTTGTAGGCCCGTGTGATCAGATTTGGGTGCACGTTAAAGAACCCCGGGTGGTCTAAATTTCCGGAGCCCTCCACTACGGCGTCTCTCATAATCATATAGTGGTTTTGGGACGTTAAACCCCACATCAATCAATCAATCAATCAATCAATCAATCAATCATCAATCATCGAATGCATATTTAGTGTTGTGTTCGGAATAATTCGGTTAGTTCGTACTCTACAGATGTTGGAGTAATCCAGGTGAAATTGTCCACTGCTTTACACATCTAAAAAATGGAGTACACTTTTTCTTGTGACAATTGGTAGTGTGATGGCTCTCGCGTATGGCGTTGGTTAGTATAGGTCGGCGAATTCAATCATGAGTCGACTTACTGGACTCAGTCAGACTCAGGTCGAGCCGTGAGTCTGAGTGTGAGTGAGCCCGAGAGAGTAAAATTTTGGTGAGTTTGAGTCCGAGTGAGTCTGGTTGACAAAACGTTTTGTGAGTGTGAGTCCGAGTGAATTCAAAGTGCAATATATATTTCTTAGGTGAGTCGGAGTGAATTCCACTTTCTTCTGCCGACTCCTGGTCCCTCTACTCATGATCAGCATTATTATCAGCCTTACTTGGATTCACGTTTGTGTTCACGTCCATTCACACGTACTCCAAAGCAGTGTATTTTTTACATCATTTCAATACTTATTGGAAGGCCTTGAACACCCACCCCGAAAGCTATTCCAATGGAGTTCTTGATACACATATGTTGTGTTATCATTTCTTTCAGGGAAAATGGCCTGATAATACTGGTTACGGGTGATTATAATTCGTTTCAAAACGTTTCAAACTTATCAAAAGGCGCTAATAAGAGCACCAATCACGTGAGATATTGGTGTTACAAAGCATTGACATAGCGGTCGAAAAAGATCAGTTTAGACTAACGGACTCAAGAGTTGACTCACTTGGACTCACTCAGACTCAAATCAAGCCGTTAGTCTGAGTCTGAGTGAGTCAGGGTGAGTCATGTTTTGGTGAGTCTGAGTCCGAGTGAGTCCGGTTGAAGAAAAATTTCGTGAGTGTGAGTCCAAGTGAGTCCAGCTAAGAAGCATTTTGGTGAGCCTGAGTTCGAATGATCAGTCTTCAACGCAAAATGTATTTCATGAGTCAGATCGCAGGGAGCTCCACAAGTTGGCGACCACATTCAGCAGCAAATTACTGTCGTATCAAATGCAGAAAATGTTTCGCAACGTTTGCAGACATTGACATTGTTCTCACTGTCTGCACCAAAGCAAAGAAATTGCTCTAGGACTCGGCAATGAAAAGTGGAACTAATGTAGCCCGAGTTGTATAGGCGGAGAATAATACATCTAGAAATTTTGTCACTGCTCAGACTTTTGCTTTCATAGCTAAAAAAAGTTGTACGCTAGTAAAGCACATTTTTATACAACACATACTAACGAGTACGTTGTGGTCTTGAAGTAAGGGTATCAGCACCTTCAAAGGTGACCTGTCGCTTATTTTTCCTGAAGTTTCGCTAGCCCGTTTCATTTTATAGCGTCATAAGGATGTACTTTCTTCCTTGTGCTCTCCTCTTTGCTCACATGCTCACTAAACTTGGATAGTTACTGGTTTGAATTTCATTCTTATGGGCCTATAAAGCAGAGTCAAAGGGCGTGCATTTTGCTTGCTGGTTTAATACATTGCGAATATCTTTTTTCTTAATCACAGGGTTCCAACTCAGTTTTTAATATCAACCTCATGGATTCTTCTGGAATGTTTGCCGTGGAGCCCACCATTGCGACTGGTTCGACGTCTGTAAGCATACGGATTGTGAAGGGACCACTCGACTACGAGAATCCTAACCAGCGAAAATTTATCTTGTTGGTAAGCATGAGCATGCATCAAAAACAAACAGCATCGCTACATGGTTGTCACCTTTCCCATTTTTTTTGTAGACGCTATTATTGTCAACGCGGTCTTGAAACATGGCATCTGCTCTAGATGAGGAGTGGTACACGTGCGCATACGTTGAAAACACAGCACAGCATAGGGCGTATGAACTTGTCTCCCAACATATGTTTGAGTAACTAAAATCCGTCTATTTTATCTCATCTGCCATCTCCATCAACCACTTTGCACATGCATTATTGCTGCCTTAATTAAAGATAACGAAACGGCCGAACGCTAGCAATACCTGAAAGAGGCCACGAGTGCAGAACGACCATCTATTTTACCCCATACCACTATATTGCGAGAATGTGCCACATAGATGTGTTGCCCACGTGGAGGATTAGATGTAAACACCAAATTTTCCTTTTGTTGTGATAACAATTATATAGACACTCTTAGGTGGATTTTGCCGCCGGCGTCAGCATCGCCGTCACTCACCGTATATGTATACATATCTATATATACGAAAACGCAAGAAAAATAATTTAGAGGGAGACTCCGGCGTGCGGAATCGAACGGGACCTTTGAGGCGTGAGTGCGAGGCGTTAACCACTGAGCCACGAAGGAGCACCTCCTTCAGCGTTCAAACGACAAGCTATATCTTCTATTTACCCCTGGTTACGGGCATCTAGGGGGGAACTATCATGTTTTTAGCATTACCAGCAAGTTGGCGCAATGAGCACGCGTCACCACATCGTCACGACGCGGCGGTGCGCGCTGTAATCTCCCACGCGTACTTTGCCCCGCAGAGAGAGAGCAGGGTGTACGCTAACGCGCCTGCTTATCTCCCGGTGGGGACAATCGAACGTCTTTGCTGCCCTTGGGCTTTCACCGGAACGATTTTGTTGTAGTTACCGCGCGCACACAGGTCACTGAAATCGTTGCACAGTCTCCATTTGTGGAAAAGACGGGCTTTTCAGGCACAGCGAAGTAACAACTGAGACGCTTATTCGCGTTCATTTGTACCTGTGGATACGTTTCATGCGTCATTTATGCGTGCGAAATGCGGGGCACGTTTCGATCTGCTTGTCATTCTGCGCGTGATTTTCCATTTGTTGCTATCACGTTCATTGCTTCGCCTTCGCGGGAAAGCTGTGAATTTTAATTTTGATTGCCATATTCTGCATTCTGTCGTGTCGTTGCAGTTGTGAACGGCTATTAACTTGTTTTTGCATCACTTTAATTTCATGCTTCCTCTCTTTCGACAGGTGGTCGCGGAAGAAGCGTTCACAAATCCGAAATTATCTAGCACGGCAACGGTTACAGTGAATGTGCTCGATATCAACGACAACGCTCCCGTGTTTGAAGAAGATAGCTACACTGCTTCGATTGTCGAGGACGCATCACCTGGTACGTGGTCACGACAATAGTGGTACGTATAGTTTGGTAGCACGTGATCTATCCTCTTGTGACCTGTACAAATATACCATTCCTCTTTTCCCCCCTAGGCTACGGACAGAGACACAAGCCCACATGGAGAGTCTGGTCTAATGTACTCACTTCTTGGAAACGGTGCAGATAAGTGCGTACATTCACCTACGAATTCAAAAGTATTCTTTTCTAAGAATGCTGTGAATCTCATGAAGATGATGGTGACAGTGGGTTGTCGACGTACCGAAAAGACGGGGCATAATATGTCATAGCGAAAACAGTGCTTGGCTTGTAGCTGTTCCAACAGCACAAATTATACCACATTTTTGTAACCACGCGAGTCAGTATGGCTTTGTTATTACAGAATCAGATAATGCTATTTTTGCATTGCCTAGCGGGACCATTGCGATTGTTGAGCGGCTTGTTAGCTTAATTCTCTCTATTCAAGACCATCCTCAATCTTTTCATTATTATTTCTGCTCCCCAAGCTCATAATTGTTTTTTTTACTTGGTTACCGTATTACTGCATATTTACTAACCCCAGGTTTCACGTGGCTGAACAAAACAGAGACTGCATGTACTTTTCGTGGAATACGTGCGCAAGTGAATCTCTTGAGCAGATTAAGAAATTGTGATTTATGTCTCGAAATAATTTATGCTTTTTCCCGCATTGGCGTTTCGTAAAAGTTGTAAAAGATATGGGTAAACTCAATGAAAATGAAGTAACAGTTATTGTTATATTTTTATGTTTACAAAAACAAAATTTCGAAAAATACTAATGTGAAAATTCCATCGCAAGTATATATATCAGAATATTTGAATTATTTCGAAGGGTTGCAATGACGCCAGTTTAATAAAAATAAAGTATACAAATGCCCATTTACTAAGACAAACATGGCACAGATACTTTAAGTGCGAAGTAGTTGAGGCCCCGAGCTTGTCGTTCATCCATACATCTCGTGTGACACGATTGCGCTCGCAGTAAAAGCTCTCAATATTGGCCATAACAAGGTAGCAATGCACAAACCTGGTTTAAAATGAACGTACTAAATAATGTACTGAACATAAATAGCCACGAAGTAACCACAATATTTAACTTCGAATGGATAAAACGTTTCGCAAACATACGGCTGAATCCTGCGACGTCAAAGAACCCCAGCTGGTCGAAATTTCCGGAGCCCTCCACTACGGCGTCTCTCATAATCATATAGTGGTTTTGGGACGTTGAACCCCACATGTCATCATTACTCCTGCGACGTGCGAGAGAGAGTGCCATCAGCTCGCCGAGCGAGCAAGGGAATGGTCCTCCCAATGGCCTCCGAGATACGCCACACGCCCGCCATTTCGGAGGCCATGTCCTCCCATTGGGTCGTCCCCTTGTTCCACCTCTGCGTTGGCTCTGCGCTGGCGCTGCGCTGTGTCGGTACGCCGCTATACATCTGATAAGGGAAATAACCCCTGGCAGAACTCGCTGCATACGAAAATCACCGCAACTGCCGCAACGAGCAGGACGTAGAGCTGTGTGCCACCGCCCATTTTTTCTCACGCCGTTCGCGCCACCGCCGAAGTTCAGAGTGCGACCATGCCGCCGCCGGGCAATAGTTGCGGTGCACCGCCATTTGTCTTATTTTAATTCGAGCGGGAAATATGGGCACAAAATACATCACTTCACCTTTTTTTCTGCAACTTTGAGATTTCTCAGAGCGGCAGTGGCACTGTTTTGGCGGCTCTCTTGCGTCCGTGTTTGCATACCCTGTCTATATCAGGGCCCTAAAAGAGTTGCTGAATATACACGATTCAGCGTGTTATTCTTCTCTGTTAGCGTTTCTAGTTCTTTTCGTGCCCTTCGTGACGCCATAATGGTCATTCACGTGACATAATTAGGGCACATACTGTATAGAATGGTCCATATACGAGAAATATCAGCTGTAATTGTTCTCTACCCTGCTTTGCCATGCATTCGCCCCCCCCCCCCCCCTTTTTTCCCTCGTGTCTCGCAATTATCACGTGCGATGAACCTGTGATTTCACTGCATTTTGCGAATTTTTTATTGCGCTAATGAAAATAAGAGTGTAGCCCACAAGCTCGAAATTTTGGGCTCAACGCTTAGCGCTCAAATTGCACACGTGCTTTATGAAGACATAACTGTCGAAGATCCTGTAAGAACTGTAGTGAAGACAGTGTAATGAAGAACGAAATTGAAGGAAAAGGCTCCGAATTGTTTCATTCTCCCAACGGACGAATTTTTTTACAACGAAGACACCGCACCTCTCCATAACAAGGCCAGCCTGTTTCGACAGTTTTTGTGTATTTTTGATTGTGAGAAAACTTACATTGATGCTCTACAGGCTTTCATCGTCCTTGTCATGTTTCGTATCCCGTGCAAATCAACTACTTTTGTACGCACGCTGTATGCTGTTTTCGCGGATAACAGGAACAGGAGGGAAAGGAAAGGCAGGGATGTTAACCAGTGTAGAGCGAATAGTTCTACCCTTCACCCAACGGCCGGGTGCACTGTGGCGGCTTGGCTAATTAAACGAGACTTGTTCGAAGAAAAAAAAATGCCCATGGATAAAATCTCGCGAGTGCCTACGAAGGACACTGCTGAAGCATAGATGAAACAAGCTGCGCCTCTAAATCTCCCGGAAGGCATGCGATAACGTTTCTCCGTGCGTGATGCCTACCGTCAATTACTCTGGAAAGGAAGCCCTGCCTACCTTTTGCTGGATGAAGGAGTATGAAGAGATAGATACTATGGTAGGAGGCTGCGTGGGTCTATCCTCAACTGTGAACTTTGACAGTAATGGCGTGGTCGTGAGTGCTAGCATGCGTGTTATTTGAGTTGGCATCAGTGAAAGACTCATGTACCCTTCTACACGCTATATCGCTGTACAAACCCTGCTTTTTCCCCAGGTAGCAGCCGTATTACCATACGCTAGAGTTTTGCAGTTTCGCGATATCTGATGAAAAAGAGTTAGCTGCAGCCTAAGCTGGTTATGGGACTGCGTGCCCCTATCGCACGGTGTAAAATGGGAAGTCATCGAAGGGTTTACCGACCATAAAGCTGTTGAAGTCGTCTCAAACTTAGCGTGTTCTCTTCAAAGACCTGAAATCCACACGGTTTTGAACTTTCTGAAAGTCGATGACACTTCCGTATTGGACACCTTAGCCTCATATTTGAAGAATTTGACTGCTGTAGCAAATTTCACTCGTAGATGTGCTCCTTCTTAAGTTTTATGATAATGCCTATCAACGTATGTGGCATAAAAGCATAATAATTGAAACCCAAGACACTCATGCCCCCGAAATATATAATGCATCTCATTTGTCGCATTAAGCGCTTAAATAAGATTCTTCATTCAAAGTGTAATAATAATGCATTTTCATTTGTTTGATTGATTGATTTGTGGGGTTTAACGTCCCAAAACCATCATATGATTATGAGAGACGCCGTAGTGGAGGGCTCCGGAAATTTAGACCGCCTGGGGTTCTTTAACGTGCACCCAAATCTGAGTACACGGGCCTACAACATTTCCGCCTTCATCGGAAATGCAGCCGCCACAGCCGGGATTCGATCCCGCGACCTGTGGCATTTTCATTTAAGGCATCGAAAAATAAGCTAGAATCTAAAACCAAGGGGCTAAGTCGGCAATACCTTCGCTGCACTTGGGAAAAAAATCCATCTAGGTTCTGGACGTTTATTAGTTCCGCATCGTCTATGCCCTCATCGTTTATTCTTGATGACCAATCGTCCTCAAATTCTGAAGGTGTAGCAATTCTTTAGTAATTAGTTCAAATCTGTCTTGTTTTCTACCAATAACGACATCACTCGTTCATTTTGCGCTTGAAGAACTACCTGCTCTATCTACAATATTTAACTAAGCTCCCCTGTAGTACATAACCTTATACAAATCTTGAGGTTTCGAAACAATCTGGACCATAAGCAGTATTCAGAATGGAGTGCTGACTATCAACAAGTAACATTTTAAAAATCAATAATCTCTGCAGCAGTTTCCCAGCTGTGTAAATTATGAAACGTTGTGCCCGCATTTAAGTCCGGAAACAAGCACGTAACAGCAAATTATAGGTCAATATTTTGCTGTCGACCAGTTTTAAACTTTTGGAGAATATCATTAACAAATGCATTGTAGAATATATGCAATATCCCTGAATTATCCCAGCACGGCTTTTGTTCTGGCTATTCTACTGTTACAAGGTTGCTTCAATTTACGCACGACATTGTGACATTCTTCTCTTAACGACCTAAAACAGGTTTATGTATTTATTCACTATTCGAAGGTCTTTGACATACTATGGCATGCAAAACTTTTAAATTTTCACAACTTTTTTTCCCAAAAAACAAGCTGGTTGATTGGATAGCAAATCATTTGCTGTCACGCTCAAAATTTCTTACGTTTAACCCCGCGAAGTCATCTGACGTACAGTCTCAAGCATTTTTAATAATATAGCGCGAGCTTCGACCACAGGCAGTATCAGCGCCTTACAAAGGCGATAATCTGCGAGACCGTCAACAGTACGCGCAGGCGCACAAAGCAATGCTAGCGCAAGCGTCGTTCGTCTGTAACGCTGTTGCTTTCAGGACGACGCACGCCTTACCACAATGACTGTCATTGGGTAAAAGGTAAAATAAAAACAAAAGTGGTGCGAGAAGAACCATGCGCACAACTTAAACCGTGATCAACCCATTCATAATCTCTTGATCTTTCCTGGGATTACAGTCCAAGAAACTGCTCGAAGTTGATGCACAGGGAAATGTGAATAAAAAAGTAATAAAAATAATAAACTGCAAAAAAAACATTACTTTACCGCATGGTCTTTGTCAGTTTATTACACCTAAAGAAGTTGCTAGTATTGGCAGCAGCGCATGTTGTTGAACGCAAACGTGGAGATAAAAAAAGCTAAACATTCTTTACTTTTAAACAAAGGGAGTGTTTCATCCTGAAAGGAACAGCCTGGCGGGTGACGCTTGCGCTAGCGCTGCTTCATGTACCTGCGCGTACTGCTGCCAGTCTCGCAGATTATCGCCGTTGTAGGCGCTGATAGTGCCTTCGGTTGGCGCTTGCGCGATATTATTAAAATGCTGGAGGCTGTAGATATCACATCAGGAAGGGGCCTCAAGTCTGGGTGCTTGGTTCGCTTTTGTTTATTGTTTATATAAATGATGGAGAACAAATTATCAGTTATACTCAATTAAACTCGCATGTATGCAGGCGACTGCGTTATCTGTAGAACTATATCTAATACTAATGATCAGGAGGCGCTAAATACCGTTGTTATCGGTCGTTTGTAACAGAAGTAAAACATGACAAACTTCAAAAAGACTCTAGTCAGGACCTTTCAAATAGAAACCGCCATTTCATTTTACATATACTAATGACTGTGTAAGTCCAGTAGGCATAGTACATTCATTCAGTACGGTACATACACAAAGAAAGCCACTGCGAGTACGCCCTCTATCTAGGCATTTCAAAGCTGTCATCGATAACTTTTGACAACCAGTTCGACAACTGGGGATCAGTGACACAAGTACATCCTCACCACTGCTTCCTTTTTTTATTCACGGAAACGTGTTCCCTTTTCACTCATACAATTCGTTACAGTACCCTTTCCCCCTATCTCACACCCCCACATCTAATGTTGCCCCCCTCTCTCTCCTTTGTTAGGATGGAGGAGAAAGTACGAAGTGTAGACACGCTAGCGCCTAGCCATAAAAAAAACAGTTTCTGTTCTGGCCTTGAGTAAGACAAGCCCGCTTGTCGAAACGTCAGCGCGACAACAACGCCTGCTTTCGTATTTTTCACCGCGTAGTATATAAGTGCTATGAAGGTTAGTACATCGCTGTAACTCCCAAAGAAATTTAAAATAGCGCACGCATGTCGAAAGAATCTGCAACAAGCTCTTCAAAAAAGTCGGTGTCTCCGACGCACGTTAATCAACTCGACAATCAATGCTGACTGAAAGCGCAAAAAACTTTGGTGCATAGACTCGAATATGCGTTGGTTGTTTGGTAACCTCACTACAAACATGACATAACTTTCTCATAATGGGTTAAAAAAGCAGTTCTGCTTATATTTCGTTGATATGACCAGCGTTTATCGCCTAGTTCACATGCACATGTTTTATCGCTGCAGCCCCCCTCGAACGTCGGCGCACTTGCAATGGTGTCATCCTCCTCAATAAATAAGATAGTTCAGACTGGTGGTTCAAGGGTTCCAACACCCATATGTTTCGTTGCATCTTTTTCACACCATACCCGGTGATTTGATCCTCTAAATATTGTACCCATTAGATCAATTCATAATTGTTTTCATTTTCTTTTGTTTATTGTTTCCTTTTCTTCTGAACGTGCACTTTTCAAATGAGCTTGATGGGCAGCTGCGCAGACTCAATTCTGAGCAATTAGAAAGAAGAATTGCGTAAACATGTATTTTGTTAAATTGCATTTTCTCTAGGTGCTGAACATTTGTATTTACACTTGTTGTGTCTCGAAAACTGTAACAGCAGTATTTGTGAATACATAACATTAATACATTAATACCGCAGCCGTGGCCTCGTGGTTGAGTGTCCGCTTCGGCTGCGGGAGGTTGTGGGTTCCAATCCACGTGCCGCCGGACACCCACCGTTCCAAAATTGGGCACAGGTGACCCTGGCTTGACACTCAGCTACTTTCAGAGGTGGACCACCTGGAAAAGGAAGCCTACGCCGTTCAAATCCCGTCAAAACATGTGGGCACAAACGATCCCCGAAAAGGGGAGGACAAACATGCTGCTGTCACTTTAATGGCTCCGCCCCGTCGGAGAAAGCCCTTTTTTTCCAGGACTCGAGGGGCAGGTTTATATGCCACCAACTCTTGAATCTTGATCATCTGCCCCCTCCCACGTCGCGCCACCGCCGATCCTATGGACCCCTCGCCGTACACAGTCGCCGCCGAATGTGGAAACACCGGCGCGCCAACGCCGGCGATTTCGGTACCGGCTCACAGGTCTAGCAGTAAAAGCCGATAAAGCACTGCCAAAAGTAGTGCACATGTTGCACACCGAGTTTGCGAATCTGGCTAGCAATACTCTACTCGTGCCGGGGAAGACCTACATGCTTACCTTAAGCGTTGGTGTCATCAACGCTTTGCTAAACCGAACAATTGGAAATCAAAGAACGGGAATTACTGGGTGACCGTTTCATGCACTTGCTCAAGTTTCGGAGTAGTGCAGCTGCCATATGTGTTCCTTTATGGTTTCAGTAAAAGCAGGTGAAGTCTCACGAACTATAGTGTAACACTTGCATAAGGAAAACGTGATACCTCTAGCCGACGACATTGTTGTTGCTGGGCGGAAAAAGAAAAATAGGAGCGCGGGCATCGCAACTGTGACGCATGTGCGCAGACACCTGAACCTTCCCGACGCACTCTAGAGGAGAGGAGTAGGAAGCCTATGTGTAAGAGACAGGGGGTGCCCAGGGACTTCGCAGATTTTGTAGGGCCTCCTTTGATATGAAGAAACACCTCAATATATAACCGAACAGCAGGTAGCAAAGTGGTAGAGCACACGCCTCCAACACCGCAGGTACTGAATTCGATTTCTATTGCGGCCGGGGACTCAACTGGCTATTTCTAATTTGTAGACTGGTACCCTATCTGACCTCCTCATTAGAAATGTAACAATACAGACATGGTGGTATGGGTACTTATCTAGAGTAGGTGGCCTCTCCTTCCTGCACTCTATTATATTCTTTCCACTTACGACTCCGCGTCGAGCTGCTTTATGGTTTGCAAAAATAGGCGACTGTCCTAACCTCCAACCACTATCAAGAGGCGAGGGTACATATGCATCAAGAAGAAAACCCGGTGGGTTCCCGGAAGAGCCAAATGTATAGTGATATTTACCGACGAGTATCAAGTCCGCCGAACCGAGTAGAGCTTACCTCATCAACATTGCTTTGCTTGCAGATTCCACGTAGACCCCAGCTCTGGCGTGGTGACGGTGGCACCGTGTGAGACTCCTGGACGCGGTAACTGCCTAGACTTCGAGTCCCGGCCCTCCTACTTCCTCTCGTATCAGGCGACGGATGACCGAGGCCGGGGCCAGAGCGCCGTCGTGCCACTAACAGTGCGCCTGACAGACGCTAACGACAACCCGCCGGCCTTCGAACAGCACCTGTACACGGCGCTCATCGACGAGGGAGACGTACGCTTCGACCCCCCGCTTAGGGTTCAGGTGCGATATCCGTTTTTCTTTCTCCCAATCAGCCTTAACCTTCCAATAGGTGCCTGATAATGAGCACGTGATATACACGACCATGTCCTTTATGAGTCGGCAGAAATGCGCCTAGTAGACGATTTTCAATCAATCATTTTTTAGATGACAGCATTCTTTCCCTTCGTCTGCCCACGTTTACGTGTTTGGTTGGTCAAGAAAGAAGAAAAAACACATGCGTGAAAGCCTTACCATCTTGGGGAATCGAACAAGGGTCAGCAGCATGGAGCTCGATTAACTACCGTAAGAAGTACGCAGAAAGTCGGTGACCGGTGCGGCGTCGCACGTATCATATTTCAGCACGCACCATCCTGCGATAGCTTTTCTGAGCACAGCCCTTGGTACCACGCTTATGGTCCAGCAGCAGTGTGCTGATATTAGTGCGAGTGGTCTCACATATTTTAGACAACCTTCGTAGAGGTTGATTCTGCAAGAAATATTGATGGCTTCTATTCAGTCGCGTGCATTATCATACTAAAAACAAAGGTTACATATATGCTGATATTATAATGCAGTAATGTTGTTTGAGATCACATACGTCCTGTTTGAGATCGGCTGAACAAGAAAACAGGAAAGAAATGTTCACATCAATTTGGAAACATTTAATATTTGTGGCAAAAGTGCACACATTTTTCGCGACACATTTTACGCGATAATTTATTACAATGATGACGTCCCTCTTTTAGGCCCGAGACCCTGATGTGACATCGTTCGTCAAGTACAGCATCGTGTCCGGAAACAGCTACAATTTGTTCACTATCAACCCACAGACGGGTGATATTACAGTCACCAATCGTCAAGGGTTGGATGTTTCTCTCCTCAAGTCTGACGTGTAAGTAAATGTCATGCCAAGTCTCAGATATGTCCTTTAGCAAAGCAAAACTTTTTTACGACCTTCCGGTACTTTCCTCATCATGTGGTATCGAATGGCTCTGAACAATTTACCACGAACCGGCGTCATAATGCCATATATATACACTCATGTTCCTGCAGTTTTCATCTGATTGGTTTTGTTCCCTGTGAACATATGCAGCGAAATTGCTTGGCTTCGAAAATGATTTCATGCTGGAGCCGTGTACAATCACGTATGGCTCCACGCATCCTCAATACAAGCGAAGGAGCTCCAAACGCGGAAGCTCGTGAAGTCACGCGCTTCCACATTAGAAGTCACGACCGTTCAGTTGTCAGCATTATGAAAAGGAACACAATAGTGAAACATTTTCAACATCCACATTCAGCCAAGCGTAGGAATGACAATTTTTTTTATTTTATGTAGCGTCTGCATCAATGAACACCCGGAAATAATTATCCCGGGCATTGATGCAGGTAGGGCCGACCTCTCCGCCTTGTAATAAATTCGCTCTCTCTGGTAAGAAAATACTTATGTTTATTGCACCTTTGTTTTCTTGCAGGATTACACTGACCGTTCAGGCTTCGGACGGTGGTTCGGGTATCGACACTGCTACAGTGAAGATTACTGTCAGGGTACGTGCACTCTGCTGTATTCTACAGAACAGATGATGTTCACAGTATATTGCTGTTCACTTTTTTTCAGGATGCCAACAACAACGCTCCCGTCTTTCAGAAAGAGCGGTACATTGCTTCAGTTCCAGAGGCTTCTCCACCAGGTACACTCCGCAACGCCCACAACGTGTACGGTGTCAAAACAGCCTCTGACCGTTTATTCTGGTCTCAACTTTTACACAGGCACCCTGGTGGAGCAAGTGTCTGCGACAGACGCTGACACGGGGGCGAACGCCCATGTCACGTACCGCATCCTCAAGGGAGCCTTCGATGACTTCACCATAGATGCCAACACTGGAGTAGTCTCACTGTCCGCAACAAGCCGCCTAGACTACGACAGGCGAAGCAGCTACATAATGGAGGTAACAAAAACATATCAACGACGTGTACAAGTATGCATGCAGCTTAAACGCCTGCATTTTCTTAGTTTCGATCTTCACGAATGAATTTTTTTATGTTCTGTTTCTTCGCATTCTGACCAGATTATTGGGATTGATGGTGGAGTTCCAGAGAAGACAGGAACTACTACACTCAGCGTGAACATTCTGAACAGCAACGACAAGATGCCATACTTTCAGCCGACGACGCAAAGGGCGCAAGTATCCGAAGGTACATATATAACGGCCGGCTGCATGTTAGCCACGAAACTAGCATGCTTCTGTAAATCTTATTCGTTGAGTGTGCAAAAGATCTTCGATCAACGTGTAGGCGTATGCCGAGACGCGTTTAACTTAGTACATACGCAAAATGTACATATAAAAATAAGAAACAACCCTATTTATGGCTGCCGCGCCATTGTACTTGTGTGAACCTGCTCACCACATTGCCGTTTCCATATTTGTTTTCTCTTCAAGGTATCGCGTTCTGTTACTGTATAGTGTCAAATTATATGCCACTCGGCGCCATTCCCAAAACAGATGTCTTCTCCACGTTCCTCGATTACTTTTTGTTTACGTTCCGACTCTTTATGTGCCCAGGTCAATGAGACAGTGACTTTTCTGCTTATGCAGGGGCGCCAGCCGGTTACAGATTCTACAAACTTGTTGCCAAAGATCCGGATGCTAGTTCCCTGGAATTCTTGAAGTACGGCATTGCTGAACCTGTAACGGCCATTTCCAAAGACGGAAGAAACGTAAATGAATCAGTTCAAGCGTATAAGGTATTCATTTTTTTGCGTAGTTACACAATCGAATTAGCCACATTTCAGACGTCACTATCAAAATATGTCCCCGTAATTGCATTTGTCTAAATTCATATAGCCAGAACAGCGTAAACAAGTATAAACCCAACATTTATGTATCGAAATCACATATGGACGCTAAATACGAGTCAATGTTTTTGTGTCTGCCTAGAAACATGAGGGCTTTGTTGACTCGATAAAGATGGGGAAATCGGCAAAATGAGCATTTATTAATTAGGACCACAGCAAATTGTCTTTTAGTGATGGTAATAAACAAAAAGCGAGCAGAGCTATAGTATATGACTAGAGAATAACAGAAACAAAGATACTCTTTTTTTCTTTAGGTCATTCACTTGTACTTTTTTGTGTTCACACTAGGCTTTTTTCGACGTGGATGAAAATACTGGGGAAGTGAAAGTGGCGTCTCAGCTCAACCGCGAAGCTGCTGCCGTCGTAATGCTAACAACCGTGGTGACCGACGTCAGCGCAGTGCCACGTCAGACTGGCTTAGGTAATAAACAAGTTCTATTCAGCCGCAGTTCCCAACCGGTCAACAAAAAGAGTGCATGAACTGAATTTGCTCGCGTCCGTAATTCATCAAGGCCTACTTTATTTTTGTTTTCTCAGGAACCCTCGTGATAACCATAGTGGACCTCAATGATTTTCCACCAACGTTTCCACCGCCTTGGAGCCCTGACCATCCGGAACTCTTCATTACCGTCATGGAGGAGCAACCCATAGGAAGTGTCGTAGCGTCATTTGTCGCCACAGACCCAGACTCTAACATAGCCAGTTACTCGATAGAACCCGAAAATCCTTACTTCGCCATTGACAAGCTTTCAGGTAAAGCCTTCCGAAACTTAAAAGGCACACCGCTCAGTGTGAAGGTTGTATATTATTTATAACCTTGTCCTCTGCCCTATTTTAATTTTCTTTCAGGTGTAGTCACAATACACAAGAGAGTCGACTACGAAGAAGTACAGGAACTCAGGTTTTCCGTTGTGGTGCGAGACACAGGCATTCCTCAACTATCAGCGGTCGCGTTGGTTACAGCAACTGTTACAAATATAAATGACAACGACCCCACCTTTTCTAAGGTACGTGCAGCTGTACTTACTCGCGTCCTGCCTTTTAACTTTCGGCATATTTGTCTGCTTATACCATCTAGTTATGCTGGCTCCCGATAAAATTTTATATCAGCCACTACGAGTAAGTAATAAAGAAAACAGCTTGAGGCAGGGGGGGGGGGGCAGTTTTGTTTTAATCATAATCATGCACTCTAAATAAACACGCAGTCCGCAGTCTTATGTAGTGAATTTCCCCATGGAGGCCTCCTTTTGCTCACTTGTGTTCATATTCATAGCGCAGAAAATAACCAGACGGAGACACAGAAGGAACGCATTTACAGGATGGGCGCTAGACATCCTCTGGTTTTTTTTTATTGAAATACAACATAAAAAGTTAGAAACCATCGGACATGAGCGCATGCGTACCATTACACTCCAAGGTGTTTTCTAATATCGGCAACGTCACGTGTTACCACCTAACATGCACAAGATTTGCTTTCAAATACTCCACCTCTTCACGGGACAAAGCGAACGAAGCAATACTGACACATTTTCTTTCTTGCTGATAGCAAATGCTTCTATAACTTCTCGCGTTGCCTGATCCTTGTCTTTGTAAGCCCACGTGTAGTGGTGAATTCTGGAGCACAAACACACCTGTGGCAATAGAGAGTTTTAGTACTGCGGAATGGTGCTACGTACGCATCACCCAAGCGCCTTGCGTTACGTGGCGTCGTTTGCCACGAATTGGCTTTTAGGACGCCGTAGTACCCGCGTACGTAACGAAAGTGAAGCGTGTTGCGCCATCTGGTAGATCAATATAAAAGTACGTGTTGTTGAAGGTCAATCTGAGCCAATGTAAGTGTGCTAACCGGATTATGGTCATATTTTAGCCGCTTTGATGCCGCCATTTTGCGAAATGAAGTCTCACGCTGTCGCGAACGTGTTCGTGACAGCGGCGCGACCACCCCATTCGCTACGCATGCACACATCGATCGCGTGCGTACGTAGCGGCCACGTACGTAACGCAATACGTGCGCGTTGGGGTCTGCGCAAAACGTGGCGTCCTTAAGTACGCAGTGCCGCCACGTACGATACGTGCGTAGTACTAAAACTCTCTAATGATTTGTCAAATGCCCCCCCCCCCCCCCACACTGCCTGCCTGCGCGTCAACTGACGCATGGTGCTCTCGCAATCTGTCATTTAAGACAGCGCTAGATTTGTCCTATGTAGCATCTGCCACATGAAAGGGGTATCTTATACACGACACCCGTCTTGCGAGGCACGAATGGTGTCACGTGCTTTTTGTGCACGTACGTTTGCCTTTGCCACCGTTCACCACCGGGCACATGCGGGCAAGCTTCTATGGAGCAGGGAATATCACCAACACCTCGCATTTTTCTGCCACCTTCTTTAGCCGGTAGTAGAAGCGGTGGATGTATGGCAAGGCTACAGGCACTTTACTTGGCTTGCCACAGGACTTCGAACGAGCACCCTTTTTAGTCCTCGCCTCTTTTAAGAAAATTATGAGGACTTAAAGGGACACTAAAGTCAACTAGTAAGCCGATGTTGATAGTTGAAATTGTGGTCCAGAAACCTCGTAGTTTGACTTTTTTGCCAAAAAAGGGCCTGTTTTGAAATAAAAATCACGTTTAAGTGCTGCACATTGAGTTAGCGCACTTCAAATTACCCGCCTCAAGAAACGGACCGTCTCTCGTCCCTGTTGCCATGCACAACATTGCCCGGCTTTACTGCACTAGTAGCAGCAGACCGAAAGCAGCGGGAGCCACAGCAGCAACAACGGTCATTTATTAATTTCCCGCCATTGGCTTCGAGAGTGCAGACGCTTTTGTTTCAACTGCTCCCCGCTAGATGACACCACCTGTCCCATGTAACCACGTGAAAATTGAATTTTTGAACTATTCGTACCATTCCTGATAGTAATGCCCGGCGGCTCTTTTTTCCATGAATCAAACAGTAACGATAAAGCAGCATTTTGTTGCGTCTATTAACGCACGGAAGGTTCTTTATTTAGTGCAGTTAGATTGTTTACCAGTGAATAATTGTAGGTGGTCCATCTGATGTCATCGGGATCATTTTGAAAATGTCCTACTGCGGCGCTTGTGTTCTTGTCCATTTACCTTAATTTCTCGATAAGTGGGGCACTGTTGTTGATAATATTGTCGTTTTAAATGTTGTCGCACACTAAGCTTTCACTCCAACGTAAATTGTTACTTGACTTGAGTGTCTCTTTAAGCCACATAACTGATGCGTTCCTTGGTAAAACCCGCTCTCTCGAGGCGTTCTACCTGGCGTCGCAAAGTTTGCCCAACAAGGTGTTCACATGACTTTACAACGGCTGCCCTAAAGCAGCTGACAGCGATTCTCCCTTTTATAAGTTTTGAATCAGGCGAATCATACCTTAGCATTTCTTTTTTGAACATGATTTGTAGCTCGAGCACATATAGTTCTCAGCCACCTCAAAATACACATCAAGGAATTGAATACTCCCCCCTTCCGGCAATTCATGGATAAACTTGAGGCCTTCTAAAAAGGCGCTAAACACATTTAAAAATTGGTAGATCCCGCGTACAGTGGGAATCGATGATATGCGAAGCACGAATGAGGAAGGTTGATATGTTACTTTAAAATCAGCACAACGTTACGAGGCGGACGTAAATCATGTCGTATATGACTTCCATGTCAAGATTATAAAGTTTGGACGTATTATTTACCTTCGTTGTCTATTCACGTTACGTGATACCGAATTTGGTATATGTGGAGCTAGCGAAACGACCATGAGTACACTATGAGCATAGCATGTAGTCATGTTTTACATGACACGCATGTCATAATTATCATGTTTGGACGTGTCATTTACCTTTGTCGTTCGTTCGCGTCACGTAATATTAAGTTTGGTACACGTGAACCTAGCGAAACGATCGCAAGCGCACCATGAGCGTGGCATGTAGCCATGACTTACTTGACATGCATGTCGTGATTTCCACCTTACGGTATGTTCACCATCCAGTCATGTCATACCACACCAGTTTTGCAATACGCCATTTGAAAGAAACCACCACAAGAGCAGCAAGACCATGAAATGCAAATCATGACATTCATGACATGTCATGATTTGCTGTTGTGACTAATCACTTATTCTCCTCATACAGTCATTTTATGCCATACCAATATCTAAACGGCCAGGAGAGCTATGTTGTAAGCAGCTAGATAGATAGATAGATAGATAGATAGATAGATAGATAGATAGATAGATAGATAGATAGATAGATAGATAGATAGATAGATAGATAGATAGATAGATAGATAGATAGATAGATAGATAGGCTCAAATTCGCCGCAGTTCGCTAATGCTTCGGATATAATACTCCGCACATAATTTTTTCGTGCTTGAGGCTTTATCCTCCTTATCACCACCTACCCTCTGATGTGACCGAGGACCCAGGCACTGGCAACCACCCAGGCGCCGGGCAAGGAAAAAGTATAGCAAGGTTTCTTGCTCACACAAAGAACTTGCAGTTTATTTAAATATTTACAAGCAAACAAGCTAGGCGTGCCGGCGCGCCTTTAGACCAGAGACGATGGGACCATGCTAAAGCCTGAGAGAGAGAGAGAGAGAGAGAGAGAGAGAGAGAGAGAGAGAGAGAGAGAGAGAGAGAGAGAGAGAGAGAGCTCTCAGCGCACACGTGACACTTTCTTTATATCCTCCGGTCTGTTCACACGCTTCTTGTCCGACGCCGACTGCGCGTCTCAGTGATGCCGATGCGCATTCCATGTGGCGCACACTGACATGTTAGGAGAGCTCGCCGATGACATTCACATACAGGCTGGATTCTCGCACGGCCAGTTATAACACCCTTATTATCGCCATTTGCGCTACGAATATGACTACAAGTGACTCAAACCAACTAGCCCGCTTCACCACTTTGACGGCCTCCTTTTGGCGACTCACGCGAGAGAATTTCAACTGACTATTCATATGCAATACGCGTAATGGTTCGTGTGCAAGATGTCTGCATGTAAGTCTGATGTTTGCCTGGCCACAGTATCATGCATGTCACAATGCAAACGCAAGCGCTAAAACTCTGATGCTTCCTCATCGAAATCACTGAAAGTTCTGAAAAAAGAAATGAACGAACTAAATGCACGAATTTTTTCCCCCGGTTTTCTAGCTTCGAATGAGCTATCGCATGGATTTTCATTTTAAGACATGTAGGTCGTTTCGCCAAAAGATGGTTGAAGACACGGAGGTTAATCTAGTAGAAGAACTGGTTTGCTACCACGTACAGAGGTGGGAAAAGAAGTGTGTGAAGGAGGATGGAGACAGAGAGAGGGAGTCAAATAAACTAAGAACAAAGCTCTACACAGCCTAAGCTGCGCGGTGGTCCTGTGACATTTCTGAGTGTTGCAAGTTTTCTACATAATAATAATAATAATATAATAATAATAATAATAATAATAATAATAATAATAATAATAATAATAATAATAATAATAATAATAATAATAATAATATAATAATAATAATAATAATAATATAGTGTTTTACGTCCCAAAACAGTGATATGGTTATGAGAAACGCCGTAGTGGTGGGCTCCGGAAACTTGATTATCTGGTGTTGTTTAACGTGCACTAACACAACACAGTACACAGGCCATTTTCCTGCCATTTCGCCTCTTTCGAAATGCGACCACCGCGGCCGGGATTGAACCTGCTTTTGACATGAGACGGCCGATACAGATTTTTTAGAGCTGCGTATACGTCTTCTTTTTACAGAATACTATCCAGATTTTTATTTTCAAAGTTCTATGACAGCAAGGCACCTGTCGTCTTGGAAGACGATCTGTGTGATGACGTGAGAGTATATTTCTACTGCTAAAGTTACTTGGAAAATGAACATAGTTTTATCAATATAATTTAAAAGTTTTAACTTGACGGAAGCTGTTTATATAGAAAGTTGTAATTTCTAAATATTTATAAATTTTGCGGAAATCCGAGAGGTCGTGCGCGTATTTGAAGATATTCACCATCGAATTTCAAGAACACACTCGTGCCGGGAGTACAAGAAGGGTGGCCGCTCTGTTACGTCATACTGAAGTGCCCTGTGACGATATATGTATATATGTCGAAATTAAGGCGCGCCGCTGCAGTATCTTGTTGATGTGGTTAAACGGGAAATAGCTTTATCCACGGCAACGTTTTCTCGCCTTGACGCAGAGTTCGTCTGCAAATACGACAGATACCTTACGGTTGCGGCCTTTTCGTAAAAACCTTTATTTGTTTTTTAAGGAAATCCGTCGTATAAAGAACCCTTTCTGGGTTTACCTCCCCTTGCAAATAGTGCGATAAAGATTGAAATGAAAGCACCGGTGGCGCCGGCACCAGGTGTGCACAACGGGAAGTCATTTGAGCTCACGTAATCATGTAAACGCATGCCAAAGGAGATAAGAAAGACGCGCATAAAGCAAAGCTGCACACAATCTCTACCAAGGTGCCCACATCCCAAGCATTCTGCGTTGCACGTTACACTGAAGATCTCATTGATTGATTGATTTGTGGGGTTTAACGTCCCAAAACCACCATATGATTATGAGAGACGCCGTAGTGGAGGGCTCCGGAAATTTCGACCACCTGGGGTTCTTTAACGTGCACCCAAATCTGCTGAAGATCTCTCTAGTCCTCTTTTCCTCCAAACATACATCTTAGATTGTGCATACACAAATACACATAAGCTGTGCTTTAAAGTCTACACAGATCACACGAAAGAAGCTATAAACATGGCAGAGACAAATTGAAAACCAAGGCTGAGACAATTTAGTATTGATATACACTACACTAATTTATCTCTTACAGAAAGCCTACCATGCTTCAGTCCAGGAAAATGCCCCTCAAGGTACGTTTGTTACAAGAGTTGAGGCGAGAGACATTGATGCTGGAGAATTCGGAGTTGTTTCTTACTCGCTGCTGGGAGAGAAAAGCGGAGACTTCCACGTCAATAAGCAGGTGCGTTGGAAAGGAAGCACCATCCTAGATATTTATACAGCTTATTTGCTGATTTGCCACGTTTGTTACTTGTGTGCCAGCTCTCGAGATCAAATCTGATAATGCTGTTTTCAGGGGGAAATACGCGTGGCGGAAATGGCCAACTTAGATCGAGAAATCACTGCCGCAATCACACTTCAAGTTGTGGCCACTGACATGGGTCAAGAAATAACAACGAGATCAGTGTCCGTACCGGTAAGCACACTCTACTAAGTTTTTACTGGTATAATAAAAAAATAGACCAGTTGACTGGAATGTAACTCAATTTGATCCTCAGTTCTCTCGTACTTGTGGGTAAACATTGATCTATTTTTCGATCCACGGAAAAGAATTTCACTGTGTACTCTGGCACAACTTGCAGGTGTACATCACCCTCCTCGATGACAATGACAGCCCTCCTGTTTTCACAAAGAAGACCTATGAAGCCTCGTTCGTCGCGAACAGCCCGCTTGAGTCTGCACAGAGCATTGTTCAAGTGTCGGCAACGGATGCGGATGAAGGAATCAACGCTGAGATTCGCTATTCTATCGTTGCTGGCAACGAAAACGGTAAGTGGGAAAAATGGCAAACTGATCCACTCAGTTTATATTACCAGCCAAGCCAAGTGATAGATGACTGGTGTGGAATGTGCTGAAGCAAAAGGAGCTTGCAGTCATCATTTTCACCAATGTCGTCTTGAAAAGATCAACTTATGATAATCAGAAGAGCAATACAGCCAAGCCTATACATAAAATGAATACGGCATAAATGCTTATCCATGGATGACAGCGCAAATCGTTTTCAACGAATTGGAAGCCTCAGTAGAGAAAGAGGAATTTCATTTTATTTTATAGCTAATGCACCACCGATACAACAACAACAACAACAAAAAACCCTGAGGGACATGCACGGGAAACGTGACGTCATGCAATTGTCGTTCGAGAACTTGTCATCTAATCGTCAGCTTTCAACAACAACCGAAATGATACGCACGCGTATGATGACGCATTGCTCGGTTCATTTCGTACACGAGTTGAAAAGGGTGCGGCCGTCCACACTGTACAAATTCGATTTCAGTGGAATTTCGATTCTCCACGACAACAATTCTTGGCGACAAAATCGGTTACAATATAACTTAGATTTGGTGATTGTGCAGGTGTCCTCGCTGTAAACCCGAAGACCGGAATTGTGTACCCTGTAAAGAAGCTCGAGAGCAGCCGCAAGGAGTACCGCATCGGGCTCGAGGCGCGTGACGGCGCTGGTAACGGGCCCAACACAGACAACTGCATAGTACTCATCAGGCTCATCGAAATCAACCTGGACAAGCCGCATTTTGTGACGCCGTCACTTCCCAATGCGACAGTCGAAGTCATGGAGGTAAGCAACGGCTAATGTAGAAGCTTGGCGGAATGCAACGTCAACAAAAAAAAGAGAGCGTGTGTGATTTGGGCTACACTGCGAAATTCGGAAAGGAAACCAGTCGCGTCCCCCGAGGTGGTGTGGCGCTTTCGCTTCTCGGCTGCTGACCTGAGGGTCGCGGGTTCGATTTCGGCGGTCATATTTTGATGGAGGCGAAATGCTGTAGCTAGAGAGAGACCCGTGAGCCATGCAATGTCAGGGCACGTCAAGGAACACCAGATGGTCGAAATTCCCGCAGGCCTCTGCTACGGCGTCTCTCATAATCATATAGTGATTTCGGAACAACCTAAAACCCCTGATATTATTTTTAAGAATAGAACCAGTCGTGTCCCTGTATGGGCAGTGCAAGACGTTAAACAAGAGGCAAATGCAGAGGTGACAACGACCAGCCCGTGTACTGCATGTAACAAAGCCTCACATGGAAGAAAACAACGCACCAAATAACTTCATTAAGAATTGAGCGTGTTAGCTTAGAATAAAATAGGGATGAATTAGTTGCACACGATTTGCCCTTTATGAACGAGTACATACCGTGGTCACACGTTCTGGTGTATTTATCTTTAATTGGGGCGCAGCTCTAGTACTGTGTATTTTGTATTCTTGATCTAGTTATGAGGGAAAATAAAATAAAGAGTGAGCCTATTACAAGTAGCCATGCATCAGTTCTTACATATGTCACCATCTTAACCCTTTCACCGTTTATCTAGCTTGCTTATAGTGAAACTATATCTCACTGCATGTATATGTTGTACAGTCGCTTAGCAGTGCCTGCTGTCCACAGGCAATGTTTCTCAATGCTTAAGCTCAATTTTTCTCTGGGACTTGAGATATATGTCAACGAAAAAAAGCTAATGAAAATAATTGTCAACAAGTGACCTGTTAACACACTACACATCTGCTGGTACGCAATAGCGCACTTTTTTTTACCTATAGAAACTGAAAGGCAGTAGACAGAGGCGTGTGCGGACCTTTTTCGCGTCGTCTCGAAGCAAATGCACATACCTGCCCACCTCTTTCAGAATCAGACCCACTCTAATCAGATCATAATGACAGTGGAAGCCACTGACAAGGACCACGGTGACAACGGCCGAATTTCCTACTACTTCAAAGTAGGAGACAGGAACGTCGCTGAAACAGACGAATTTCTTATCGACGAAGTCACGGGAGAAATTCAAGCGAAAGTCGTCCTTGACAGAGAGCTGAGGCCACGTTACGAGGTAAACACTTTCTTTCCTTGTTAGCTCTAGTGGTGTACATTACAAACTTGAGTGGGTACCGACGACTTGTCCAGGTATATATATATATACCTGGACAAGTCGGTACATATGCATGTGTTTGAGAAAGAGTGAGAGTCCGCAAAGCAAAGCCAAGCATACTTTGCTCTGCTCTGTGGATGTGCCATTAACAGATGCGAGGCTATATAGCATAGGTTGCTTGCGCACTTCCCATTGACACGCTATAATAACTGAATCTAACAAACATTTCTCAACCGCAAGTGACTGCCACAATCCTCAATCCTCTCGAATATTGACTAACTGCAGAACGTATGATGGTATAGGGATATGGTAAGTTGCCCTTATTTGTGACGGAAACACTTAAGAATTATCACTACTTGTGCATGTTTCAGTTGGTGCTAGTCGCCAAAGACCACGGCACGCCAGCCCCATTTGAGACGCTACGGTTCCTGACCGTCGTGCTGAAGGATATCGACGACAACGCACCTCTATTCCCGCGCACCCGGGTGACGTTTTGATCCAAACATCGATCTATATAGCTGATTTCAGCACTTACTGACCTCTTTATTTTGATTTATTCTTTTCAGTCTACGGCACCCTATGTGTTCCACATCAAGGAGAACTTAAGCAGCGGTTTCCACGTTGGAAAAGTGACAGCTATTGACCAAGACGTCGGCGAAAATGCCATGGTCTACTATTACATTATCGGTGAGGCTCCTGCGGCGTAATTAAAATTCTTCCTCTCGAAGCATTTATCTCTTCCACTTGCTTCCCGACCTGCGGCTTGAGAAGAAAAATCTCTTTGCAGTATCACCAGAACAGATCGTTGGGGATGGGATTCTCATTGATTTTTGTGAATTGCGACCCTTCATATGAGAAATTAGGACAGGAGTTGAGCATGTAGCGGATCAACTTCAGAAAAAAAAAAAGCGTTGGTGTGTTCCTCGTCCCTGCAATGGCGTTGCTAAGAAATATGATCATCACTCGGTACGAAGACATTTTTGGGCGGAATGAAAACTCGTAATTTTATTCATGCTGATCATTTTGGTGTACCACAGTCTTTGCGATTTACTAGCACTCGATAACCGTACACTGCCCGTGTTTTACGCAGATGGAAACTGGGACATGCTGTTTACGATTGACAAGATGCAGGGAATCATATACTCAAACGCCTCGTTCGACCGGGAGTCCAAGGACATGTTCGAACTGGTGGTGAAAGCTTCCAGCAACCCCGATTTCCTCGTGTACTCCGTAAGTGCGCGTCGTGTCGTGGCCGAGCGGTACGTGTGGCGCATAAGTTCGCATGACGTGATTTTCTTTCCTTGCAGAGGCAAGCCGATGGCCTCCCGCCCAGCATACGCAGCTACAGCGAGTCCGACAGAACGGTGGCCCTTGTCAACGTGCACATTGACGACGTGAACGATAACGCGCCCATGTTTATAAACGCCCCGTACTATGCAGGTAAACTGAAAATGCAGAACTGCCACTATAGTATACTCTGGATTAACGAAAAATCTAATTTGGCAACTGTCGTTTCGGGGCCAAACGTATACACGTACCTTCACTCGGCAGGGTATAGTTTATTCATAAGAAGGCATTTCGCGCAACGGAGCAAAGAACAGTGATAGTAGGTTACTTTCATTTGCTTGTTTCTATTTTTCAAGTCGATGGTTATAATTGTGACGCAAGCCATCTAAAGCAATTAGGCTGAATTCCTGACATCATCACGGTAATACTTACTTTTTCGATCATGCACAGCGCAATCCGAGATGCTTGTAGTGTTTTATAGCAAAACAGATGCGCCATCTCGATATACTAAGTGCGGTACTGTACCGACACTTAAAGTGCTGCCTCTGACATCCGAAATACTCCTCATTCGTTCGCGAAAACAGCATGCACATTGATTCTCAAGCGAAGATTTTCTGAAACAAATCCACGCGTTGCTTCAAATGAGACGAGTAGTTCTTCAAGTGCGAAGACTTTTATCATAATCATCATCATCATAATCATCACCACCACCACCATCATCATCATCATTATTATTATTATTATTATTATTATTATTATTATTATTATTATTATTATTATTATTATTATTATTATTACTATTATTATTATTATTATTATTATTGCGCAAGGGCCATTTCATGGCCAAAAGCACCAGTTTAGCAAGGATATTCCTTCAAGAAAAGAAAAGTATTGTTACGTGAGCGCTTTCGTGCATGATCTCGAATAATCCAAATCCCGGGTAGTGTGCTCTCAGCGCACCTGGGGAAACTTTGAGGCAATGCTCTTCAATGAAAATCACTCGGTGTTGTTTTAGGTCCGGCTGCTGAACTTTTATTTTTTTCTTCAACTCTGTTCAGCCTTCGTGGTGACCGCAACTTTGCCATGGTACCACGTAGTTAGTGTTTGTTAAGTTGTAATCAGCACGCTCAAGGCATGAAACGTATAGCAACAATAAATTTCAGGGCTGCGTTTCACCGCCGTGGAAGGAGACACGGTATTCACCGTGCGGGCCCGGGACCCGGACGAGGAGACGTCAGACGGCCCTGCCATCGCATACCGCATCGAGCACGTGACGCTGTTCCTTCCTGGATCAACGGGTGGTATCCGACCCATACCAGCCTCGTTTAACGTGTCTGCCGATGGCCGTGTGTGTGCTACCCACCCCATGGCCCAGTACAGCCAGGCGCGCTTCACCGTAGCCCTTGAGGCCAAGGAGACAGTCCCTCCGCACCGTGCTGCACGTACCACGCTAAAGGTGAGTGTACCCGTGCAAAGAACTGTGTGGAGGCTCCTGTTTTCGCAGTGAAAAAATTACTTTCGCGTGTTATGCATTCTATACGGAGCAGTGGAAGCTGACGTGAAGAATTAATCTTGTGGGAGGGCTTACTCACGTCGCATCGGTGTCAAGTGTGCTAAACAAATCGGCGATTGGTGCTTTCGACGGAACGGGCCACAGAATAAAGAACAGGTCCACAGAGTACAGAACTAAGGATCGCAACGAGGCCGCCGAGCACTTATTTCCGCCTTTCAGTGACGTGTGGACACGTAGGCAGCAACGCATACCCTCAAAAGAAGCCCTATACAGTCGCGTGTTTCGATTCTTCGTGCTCTCAGACCGGAGAATTCATGGTTCCACAGTTTCGCGGATGACACAATTTTCTTACAAGCAAAAAGGGACACGTCTTTCACAAAGATCTGGCGTCAATATACGAAATACTATATAAACGATGAACTCTTCATAGGCTTTGAATCTTAATGGTTAATTAACCATAATTACATTCAGCTACGATGCCTCATTCATAAACATATTACCGCAACGGCAGATGGCATATCTATACTGCATAAACATCTTTTTATTTTGAAATGGCAATATTTAAGTGCTGTTTAGAGGATTCGTATAAACACCGGCGTGGGTAGGCTCGTAAAGAATACAGCAAACCTTCGAATTTCCGACAGAACTTATTCTTGGTACATGATTAGTTATGCATGTATATTTAAATATACGTGGCAAAGTGTGATATTTAAGCAACTATGATCTCCCTTTTCCCCCGAAGGTCTGGATCTACGAACCCGAACAACTAGTGCGGGTAATAATCGCCCAGCCTCCGGAGGAAGTGTACAGGGACCAAATGAGTGTCATAGCGTAAGAACATTTTTACTGCATTGGCGGTGGTGCTACATCTCGGTGCCTTGTTGAAAACTCTATTCCGATGATGATTTACTCCTGTATGTTTTTTTTCCTCCACAGTGTTCTTTCTAACGCCACTGGAGGAACTGTGGTTATTGACAAGTTGAAATATCACGTGAGCGACAAGGGGAAGCTAGTGAAGTCTTGGTGAGCACTACGAAAATGTCCTTCCTCCATGCGCTGGCACACATATTTATGCCTCTGTAGTCTCTCCTTCTCCGGAATATACACACGACGTTTAGGCGAAGATGCCAGCATCCATAATTGTTTTATTTCCGGTCTTACTTGATGAACCAGTCACACTGCATGGACAACTATATAAAAAATTGAAATTTAATTTGGAGTGTATTCCGCGTAATTTTGATTGATGCGTGTTTCCTGCTGCAGGACGGACCTGTACATTCACGTTCTTGACAAAAATGACCGTGTAATTCACACGCCTGAAGTACTCGACGCCGTTGATTCTACATCAAGCTCGTTCGCTTCCAAAACCCAGAACTGCAAATTCACAATGTTCTTGTGAGTAAATGCTTGTTCTCCTTTATTTTTTGCCTGTTCTTTGCTTTATTTTTTGCGTGTGCGTACTGGTGCATGCTTCTCGTTTGTAAAGTACGTGATGATGCGTTTTATGCCGGCTGATCTCACTATAGGCAATGCAATTCATTTAAAGCAACAAATACGCGTGTCGTGTTATTTGCCCGCAAAGACACTGACCTAAAGGAGAGGGGTGTGGTAATTGGCGGATTTGTAAAGCTTTTTGCTGGTACAACATTCGGTAAATATTAGCGGAGACATTTGCGTTCATCTCATTCGCTGTCGTAATCAGGCAGCACCCTCTCTCGTAAAGCGCTATCACGTATAGAAGTAACACAGTATGCCCAACTATTCCGTGGTGTGAATATGTGTAACGAAATGTTGCGTGCTTTGATCCGTCACGCTCACAATTTTGGTCGCAAGCAGACAAGAGTCATCCTTAATGTAGGCTTTTTTATACTTCATCGCGCAACCTCTTCACCAAAGTACCTAAACTTCGCAGTGGCCATGGCTGGAAGATCGAAATGGAGTATACGTCGCATTCGCGTGTGGATCCCGGAAACAAAAAGAGGACTGCAGCAATGACATTTAAAATTTTCAGTCAACACTGAGATATCCAAACAAGCGTCTGCTTTTTAGAAATTTCAGTGGCGACGGGCTCCTTGCAGGAAGGGCTCCAGTTTTCCAGTTTGAGCTGAAAAACCGGCCTCTTCAGGCCAACTAAAAAGTGTATTTATTACAGTTGTAATTTATGCCTCTAAACTAGTCAAGATAACATGTGTGCTGCCTTAGAAAAACTATGAAAGCAGCGAGCGAATGTTGGTTTTCTCGCAGCTTTTAAGATAATAAAGCGCAGTTTTTAAACACGCTGTATAGTATGAGATCGTGATTACAAATACGTCTCGTTTATATCTGTAAAACTGTGGTGTAAGCGCGCGTGTGTGACGCCAAGCTTTGAGTTGGGTTGGACATCGATCTCCTTATTTTTCTCTAGATTTCAATTCCTTTTTATTACCTAACTAGAAATGAACATGCATTAAAGTGGCCAGCTTACTGTTTGTGGAACCGAACCCTAACCTTTCTAATAAATAATTCGTTTGACGTCTTTCTCCGCTTTGCAGCCTGCTCGAGTTGGCATCAGCAAACAAGAATTTGATTTGGCCTTAGCTGTGCTAATTGCGATGCTGGTGGTGATATTCGTCGGCGTCGTGACCATGATGGTTTGTTGTACCTGCTTGAAGTCCTGGTAAGCTGAACGCCTTCCTTGGCTGCCTGTATCATTTCGTTCCCATTTTGGTAAAATCAAAACTTGAACTAATTGCTGAAGTCTGTTTACAATGCCATGACTTCATTTGCCATATGCTTCTATTGGAAAGTAATTCACGTGAGAAACACAGTGTACAAAGTTCTCTCATGAGAATGTAGCCGATTTCTTCTACACGGGTTACGGAACGTCACGTTCACAGGTGTTCAAAGCGATAGTTTTTTGAAGGCGCCACTTTTTTTGGAAAAAACAAAGCCGCAATGTGATTTTCCTATGAAGGGTTTCGATTCCTCAAGTGGACCACTTTGTCACCCCTAAATAAAAAGTTAATTAACTTCATTTCTATCTTTTGCTTTTGCACTTGATATCTTAAATCATTTTAATGTCTGCCGCTGCACAAAATTAATTAATAACGAAGCGAGCAAATGTCCTACTTGCTATAACATTATTTGTTTTAAGATTTTCAGACACAATTCTTGGAACACCCTGCATATAACGCGTCTAACACGCATGGCCAACCCTGTAAACGTCTCTTTCAAAGCGAAAAAGGCAACGCCTGGAGTATATGCTTGGGAAAATTTATGTCTCACGGATGACTCTGTCAGATGAGGAAAGCGCATCCGTTCGTAAACTTTGTTCACACGAACGCAAGTGTGGGATTCGGCGCGATAAAATGTATACTTCACTTACTTGGTAAAAACACTGTCGAAGCCTAATAGGGAAGCGTGATGCTGAAGGCCCACGTGGTCAGATGTGGGTGCACGTTAAAGAACCCCAGGTAGTCGAAAATTACGGAGCGCTCCACTAAGGAGTCTCACATAATAAAATGGTGGTTTTGAGACGCTAAACCTACCATATCATCAACAGGAAAGCGTGAGAAAAACGTATGAAAAGCAGCATACGCACAAGCGGTATACAATTTGTGCTGTAGGACATATCCTATATGGTACTGTTTCTCTTGTTTCCACTTAAAAAAAACATTTATTTTCAGGTACGCTTACAAAGCCAAAGAAGCTTTAGGTACGTATGAAGGAGTGCTCAATTTTCGTGTCCTAAATAGAAAAAAGGGTACAAAAGAACTGTGTGGCTTACGTTTCTTTTACATGCAGTACGGCACGACGAAAGTCCCCCGGTGACTACTACGTGAGTATTTTATCCCTGTGGAAATACATAGCAAAACACGAAGAACAGCATTCACCATTCTGATGTCTGCTTTTTTTGTTTTGTTTTTCAGAGAGAATCCGCTATGGACCGAACAGTAAGTTCCTTGCAGACTGTCTTTGAAGTAGTGAACCGGCATTCTGCATTCTCTTATTTACCTGCATCGCTCTTGGGCGAACTCACAATTTTTCATTTGTGCTGCTACTTTTCTCTTCTCTGGCCCGCTCCCGTAGAAAACTCAAGATATATGAAGAACAGGTTAGTAGCCAGTCTAATGTTCTTGCAGTGTATGTCCGCTTTTGCGTTGCTCTCACATCGCACATACTCTGTGCGCGCCCTGCAGGAGCTGAGCATGAGCGTGGCGCCTGACAACATGGTGACCACGGAGGCGGACATCGCCGCTTTCAACTTCAACGACGACACGAGCAGCGCTGTGTATGCTACGCTGCGGCGCAACAGTGTCAGCCACGTGGGAGCCGAGTCGCGCAACGGCTACTCCACCCTCACGGGCCACCGGCCCACGGCCTCGTCGCGCAGGCAGCGCGAGCCGGACGCCTCAGACGTGAGCGCGATTGCATTTTTCCCTCACTCACTCGCTCGCTAGCTACCTAGCTCGCTCCTCTACCGCCATGGTGCTACCACGGTCCACTGCACCAAGGAAGTAAAGAAATCACGTGGTTGATCCCCCTATATAGGAATCGGTATAACACGAAAGTGAAAAGTGTCCTTAAAGAGGTAGTTGAAACGTTTATTGTGCATTGTTCCAGCAGCAGTAACAAATTGCAAAGTCACGTTAAGAACGGCAAGCAGCTCGAAACTCGGGGCGCACACCTCAAGCAGAAAGAACGCACGAAATTAGCGTACACAGGATGAGCGCGGACTAACAACTGTCGTAGCTCGGTATTTAAGGCGCGTTGTTCAAACAGAAAGACGTACGAAACGAGCGCGCAAGCATGCGCAGGACAAGCGCGAACAACTTTTACAATTCTTCCTGCATCGTGCGTCATCAGCGTGCTCCTTTCGTAAACGCGCGGCCGCGGCAGCGTGCGAAGTCACCTTCGTCCTCTCCCGAATTACGAGTCTGATAAGCGCGCACGTAGGAGAGACCACGCTCCTTGGAGGCGGCGCTTCGTGGAGGCGACGACCACGGAAGAGGAATTATACTGAGGAGAGGCCGTTACGTCACATTTTGTGGAGTCAGAAGCAGGGAAGAGTAAATGAGTCGTCGCCACAAAAGTGGGCACGCTACGGCGGCTCGCGCATGCGCAACAGGTGCCCAGCGAGAGGGAGGCGAGCTGCGCGAGCGCGGTAATTCGGACAATCCGGGTGGCACCACCGCCACTCTGTTAGACGAGCTAGAAAAGCGAAACTTTTGTGCTGTATATAAGCAAACGTGCTGCGATACCAATCATCTAGGTGGCATTGTGTGATACTCGCTTGTATAGCACCTGTGGGTCATTCGCAGTCTGATTACGGTTCATATGTGAATCTACAATACACTTGCAGTTTTGCACTTCGTGTTTAATCCGCTGAATTCAAGAGAGTGACGGTGCGAATCAGCCGCATAATCACCACGTCGCGACAGGCTGTTTTCTTCTGCAGATGTGGTAAGTTTGGAGTACAGTACATATTGTAACAGGAAATTTTTATTTAATTTATCTAGCTATTTAGTCAGATTAAGTGCCTTCGAATCATTATTTGCCATGTGTGTCACGATACGTTCACAGCAGCGTGCGGGTCGGCCGACTGCGAGCATATTGAAAAAAAAAACTTGGCCAAAGATGAGGTTACTGCGTGCAAAACGTTAAGAGGAAGCGATAATTCAAGCAATAAATCACCTTCTATGTCAGGCACGTCTGATTCTTGACTTGGCAAGCAACGGTGAGAACAGTGGGCCACGCACTTTTTTCTGATAGTTGTGACCGTTATACGCGGGAGCGGCTCACTGCCGCCTCTCGCATTAAAATCCTTACACGCTACCGTTCTTGTCTTGGAATTATAGGTTTCCTTCGCTGAGGCACGCAAGCACAGTGCCAAAGAAAAACAGTGAAACTGCGGTGCCAATAATTTTCGGAGAAGTGGTCACGAGCTTCAAAAACGACCGCTTTCAATCTCAAGCTATATATAATAAACTCGCAGCCTTGAATATCGACTCTCACTGTAGGTTGCTGACACGTTGCATCATTTTTGAAGTGCAACAGCTGCATCAAAATGCACACTCAGAACTCCAGCCGGCTATGCACAACGTGGTCATGCGAGTGGTGATGCAGACAACACGAGACGCCGGCGCGCCCTAGTCCCACAACTCCCATGCAAAAGCACGTGACTTCCCCCACACACTTCGCTCTGCAGGCGCTGCAGGCTGCAGCTTGCGTTGGGAGCACAGAGTTTTCTAAATATACACTAGAGGGGACTCTGGCGCTAGTATCTATGGAAGCTGCAATGCGGAGCGACTAAAAAGTACAGTGAACTAGAAGAGATGTAGTGGCACGAACAGCGTCGCACAGGTGGCCTGTTTTCACATAAATGCCACAAGATGGTGCCACTGCAACTTTTCATTATGGCGAGGATGGAAAAAGCACTTGAAGGTAGCAGCGTAGGGTTTAATCTGTCACACAAACAGGCTGACGCGATGGTAGATCAGAAGATTTCAGGTCTATTTTATGCAGACGATATTGTCCTATTTGCGGACAGTCAAGACGATATACAGCGACAGCCCCGCCGCGGTGGTCTAGTGGCTAAGGTACTCGGCTGCTGATCCGCATGTCGCGGGTTCGATTCCCGCCTGCGGCGGCTGCATTTCTGATGGAGGCGGAAATGTTGTAGGCCCGTGTGCTCAGATTTGGGCGCACGTTAAAGAACCCCAGGTGGTCGAAATTTCCGGAGCCCTCCACTACGGCGTCTCTCATAATCATATGGTGGTTTTGGGACGTTAAACCCCACAAATCATCAATCATCAATATACAGCGACTGGCAGATATATTGTGACGCAACGGTGAAGGCGACCTTTATTGGGCCCCCAAGACACGATTAAGCGATCATACCAAGTGCAAAAAAAACAGGCAAGCCAAGTTCCCACAACAGATGATGACGACCACCACTCATGATGATGAACATGTGTGAAGAGGGTACATGTGCCTATTGAATGCCCAAAATATGCCGAAAGGAAGGCAAGGCTCTAGGACTAGGATTTAGTGCAAAAAAATTGCATTCATGGTATTCAATGATGACAAAGACCAAGCGGTCTCAATACAGGGCCAAGAAATACCGAGGGTAGGCGTGTACAAGTACCTTGGAGTATGAGTAAATAAGTGAGATAGATATACGGAGGCACAGGAAAAAGCATCGGCAGCAAAGGAAAAGAGGAATGCTGCAATCATGAAGCACAGAGCGTTAAGGGAATACAATAGGTACAAAGTGCTTCGAGTTCTGTGGAAAGGCGTACTGGTTCCAGGACTTACATTTGGGAACTCAGTGGTGTGCATGGAGTCTGAGGTGCAATCAGGAATGAATGTAAATCAGAGGACTGTGGGACGCCTTGCGTTGGGCACTCACGGGAAGACGATGAACGAGGCTGTAAAGGGGTTATGGGATGGACAGGGTTCGAAGTAAGGGAAGCTCAAAGCAAAATGAGATTTGAAGAGAGGCTTAGGAAAATGAAGGAGAGTAGGTGGGCAGGGACGGTGTTGAGGTATTTGTATAAGAAGAGCGTGGACACAAAACGGAGACAAAAAACTAGGAGGCTCCCCAGTAAATATACGGCTGGCAGCAGTGTGGGTGACATGGTAACAAGGAGCATTAAGCGAAAAGTCTAAGAGACCGAGAGGATTTATTGAATGACAGCGATGGAAAAGAAGCCGGCTCTCAGTAACTACTAAAAGGGCAAGAACGAAGTAAGGCGGCAGAGGTTTTATGAGAATTCAAGGGGAAGCGCTTTACTGTTCGAAGCGAGATCGTGCTGCCTTTGAACGCGTAGTCATAAAGCGAGATTCAATAAAGAGGAACAATTTACATTCCGTGTGGGGAGTTAGGAAAACGATGGAATATGTTCTAATTGAATACGGTGATGTCCACCTAGGTATACTAGTGGGTAGAAGCGTACATAGGCTTTGGGTTTCAGGGACAAACAGGGAAAGCTGAACACGTCAGCGATAGAAGTATGTGAGAGACGGTTAGAATACAGGTGGCAGAAAAGTAGAGATAAAGGACATAAATAGTGGGTAAATGAGGTCATTCTGCCTGAAGAGGCAGAGATATGGAACACAAATATGTTTTTTTGTTCGTTATAATAAAATCGATTTATTCAAAGTAGATGAGGAATTATTTCAACATAAAAAGAAAGTTTTCTTTTCTTTTTTTTTTCTTGCGATCCTGTTGGCACACAATTCACCGCCCCGTTATAAAGGGGACGTTCATAGCATCCATTCATTCATTCATACTACTTTGGCGCTCCAGCCTATGGTTGCTACGGATTTTCGTCACGTAATATTGCAGATTTTGGTATTATCGGGGCTGCTAGCTATCTACACTCAACAATCTTACATATGCAATTATTCAGTATTTGCACATTTATGGTAGTGAATGTGCTGGTAAATCAGTAACACACAAACTTTGTGTTATGTAAAATGACTTCTTTAGGGACCGGATTTCGTGACACTTACACCTACGCCCTTTTTGCTTGGGCGTTTCGCACCCTTCCCCTGCCAGTGAAGACCCACAGACGTTCTATTCCGTTCACCGGAGTCATTTTATGGTTTTTTTTCTTGCGTTTCCATTTGGATAAAGGTGTTTCAAGAAATGCGTCCAATATAGTTTAAAAATCAGCAAAATACGCTATTTGCTCGCTGTCTTCACAGTTGGTTTTACTATAGCAGCAGGTATCTTAAAAAGGTTGAGTACATCATTGAGAACAGTAGTTAGAAAGTAAATAATTAACTTTTAATTAGTGCAGTTTGGCAGTTAAGTCAAACAGCCTAAGTGAAGTCCTTGGTGCAAAAACCCATTGCCGCTTTGAGATTTCAGAAAAGCGGCCTCTAATAATACTACGAATTATTAAAGCTCTCCTAAATTTTACGGCGAAACCGAAACCAACGGACCGAAGAGCGCAACAAGAAGACGACTACAATGACGCCACTGTTCAAAACAGCGGTTACAGTGGTGCAGTTCTTCCCGTTCACCCATGTTTTTGGTTTTGTGGCAGACTTGGGGAGAAGTGTATTGATTCGCCGTTTATGCTATACACCGCTTTTCCGAAATATCAAAGCGGCAATCAGTTTTTTCGCATGAAGGACTTGAATTCTCCCGTTAACTTAACTACCTAACTCCACTAACTAAAAGTTAATTATTTTAACTTTCCCAATTACCGTCCAAATAATACCTTCAAAATTCTGAAGATGCCTGCCACTATAAAAAAAAGCAATTGTAAAGACAGCGATAAAATAGCGCCTTTTCCTGATTTCTTTATATTATGGGACACATTTCTTGAAGCACCCTGTATATATAAATACGTATGCATATACGGTTAATCACGGCCCAGGTCGATGCCAGCGGCAAAATCCAGCCAAGAGTGTCCATGTAATTGCTCTCGCAATAATTACTTATGCACTCACCTTCTAGTGTCAGCCAAGGAGTGCACCAAGCATAATGCAAGTGCCTTGGCAATTGTCTCTTGATTCATAGCTATCTTAGTTCTTAATAGAGAAGAAAAGGGAAGGATACCGACCGGTAAAGCAGCCAGGCGAAACGACACATTCGCTTCAATGCTATTCGCTATGCTTAGTATTATGCGCAAGCTTTTAAACCGGGGTAGACAAGGTTTGCGGATATCGTTTGGTCCAACGACGTTGGTGATGATTTAACGAACCAGAACAAAGCAGACAGGTGAAACAAAGGACCATTTCGTTTAGGAGCAATAAGCGCTACCAGAGGCGATGTGTGCATTTTCGTCAGATCATTCTAGCATTGTTGATTGTTAGCGAGGGCCGATTGGGCTTAACCGCACAACGTTGACTCCCAGCACTACTGCCGCTCTCGAATGTTGTATCAGCCTGCCACGGAAATGCGACCTATCAAACTAAACGCGTTGACATTAATCCGTTAAAATTTAATTCTCTGTCGCTTTATTCTTTACTCACTGCCCTGGCGGGCTGGTAAAAACTCAAGAGTGGTTCGCCCATTTTGGCATAATATGCAGGCAACCACTTGACAGCCAGCGGTAGCGTCAATTTCGTCGGCCTGTTTGTTTTATGAGCAGAGATCGAGAAAAATAGTGCAATCTGTTCATTCAAAAAATGAGCAAGTAAATTTCACTCAAGTTAGTATCATAGTGTTACGCGATGGCTTCAGAATTCAAGTTTCATATAATGCAACTGTAGTACCATTCATGAAAGCTGGTTTACAAACGAATGCGCAGAAAAACAATACAGCATTTCGTAAATATCAGTTGGTATTTTATGATTGCCATTTCTTTTTTATTGTTTTGCTCTAAATTATCCTTTTTTTCTTTGTTTTTTTAAGAAAGGGTGCAGTTTTCATGTTTAAACCTCCAGAAAATCTGTCACTATAACTGGGTTTTCAAGCCATCCCACATATTTCTGTTTAACTTCTTTTTTTAAAGAAATGTTCGAGGTTGAGGTGGGGTGAGATATTAAGAACCGAGCAGCCTGCAAAAAAAAAATTGGCCCCGTATCTGCTTGTTAATCTGCAAATGTCGTCGAAAGACGATAGTCTTGCGTGTGGAGAGAGTGAACAAAACACTCATGTGATGTTCTGCACAAGAAAATTGGTGAAGGGTATTCTGGAGGCGCTGCGTTAGAGTGCCTCAAGCGTGCAACGGAGGCGAACGAGCTCATTCAGTCACGTCACACGTGAGACATGAGCCCTGTCTGGCAGTTTTCTTGGAAAACGAAGCGTACGGCTCTGAGACGGGCGTGCGCGTCCGTCTCAGAGGTAATAAGGTGTAGAACGCAATGCGACGGGTAGATGTCACCACCATGCCGTCTTAGCAAAGCGTTAGATACACCCGCCTTTTCATGCAAGCGTCACGGTCAGCGCAGCCTGATAAACGCTACGGTCCTTAATATTAATTATGTATGCATTTTCTAGTAAAAGACGCACATACAGAATATATACGTGTTGTTATGGTGCCTCAGATATTCGCAATAATTGCTTTTTAATTGACAATCACACAAGTATGAACGCTGCATCTTGAGCAACATTGGTGGGCGCTGCGGATGGGGTTGGCCGTTTGGGGTTTCGGTGGTGCCGTTCAGATTACCCGGTACCATTAAGGGTGAACAAACAGACAAGTGTACAGACAAACAGACAGACAGACCAAAATTTTTCTGCCGAAGGTCCCCAAGAAAGACTATCGTCTTTAAAAACGATAAGTGTCATGCACATTTAGCCGATAGAGCTTGTCTAATAATTTTGTGGCAAAGACAATTTTCGATTGCCGAGACAGTTTGGCGCAAATGCAACCCGCATAGAGAACCGCCGTTGTTTTTTTTATTGCTTCGCAGGGTCACGAGTACCATGAGCTGCACTCGAGCGACACCCGTCCTCCCACCGGCGACAGCACTCCGTTCAGCACATTCAGACCCACGGGCAAGAACACGCCTACGACGGAAGGAAGGCTCTTTCAAGAAGCGAGCTCCTCTCACAAAAACGACGAGCCTGTTCTAGTGGCCGAGCTGTTATAGGACGATATTTATTCTTACGGCCGCCGATGACGCTATCATCCCTCCGATGCAGTGGGATCCGCTGATGGAGTCCACCAGACGCAGATGCTTCATCTCTCCTTCGTGTGTGGATCTGTGTGTGAGAGTGCGTGCGCTGGATCAGTCGAGTAGTGTGCATAATTCCGGTGCTTTGTGTGCGATCACATATATATATATATATATATATATATATATATATATATATATATATATATATATATATATATATATATATATATATATATATATATATATATATATATATATATATATATATATATATATATATATATATATATATGCGAGTTGGACGTTTGTTCGTGCCTTCACACTGCGACGCTGATCGTCGTCAAATTTATAGGAAAGACGAGGGGACCTATACCGATGGAAATTTACTCAGCGTCGTTCCATCGCTCGAGGCTGAGTGATTTCCCACAGTGTGTGCCAGCCGTTATGCAGCCTGCTTCGAAGCCCTAGTTTGTCCCTTGAGCTTCTCCAACAAGTGATCTTCGAAGAGGACACTCACCAGACATCAGCTGATGCGTTTGATGATAACTTTCTCCATATCTTCACGATTAAGCGGTGTTTTGTCATAGAGCATCAGCTAGCGTGCCATGTCTGCAGGTGTGTTTATCAAGCATCAAAGCCAAAATGTCAATGAGCGAAAAGCGTGTGAAACAACGCATACAGGGAATCTCACAAGAAAAAAAAACGTGATTATTTATTTTCCCTACTGGTCTTTCGCGCCTAATGCACCCCGTCGCTACGAGCGTAACGTGTGCTTTCTATTTTCGCTTGTTTGGTGATTTCATTGTAACCAGAGCCTTCGCCATCTTCTGAAGACAGATATATTTATAAAGTTTTCTTTATTATCCAATGCAGACTACATTTAAAAGCTAATGGCATTAATCAAATTTTAAATTTGACAGGAACACTCACATAGGGCAGACGTATATGTTGTGTACATTCATAAGGTCATTATTGGCTAGGAGTTACTATAAGGTGTGGCTAATGAGCTAAAGAATATTATTGACATTTCCATAACTTTTCAACCGATATGCTTGCGGTGCGTACTAAAAATTTGCAATAAACACTAATGGGCATGCAAACACGGACACAGGAGAAGATACCACCTCCCTACAGTTAACATCCATCTGCCTACAGAAAGATGTAAAGCAGGAATTACCACACAGACCACCACTTTTTGTAAATAAATGTGCGCCGACTGGAAGCACGCGGTATTATATCACACACACACACACACACACACGCACACACACACGCACACACACACACACACACACACACACACACACACACACACACACACACACACACACACACACACACACACACACACACACATGTATGTGTCGCGTACGCTGGCTGATGTACATACTTGTATTTTTTTCTCCCTGTAGAACGCAGTTACACAAGGTTCAACTGGCGTAAGCACGAACAGAGGCACATAATGATAAAAATGTTATGCTAACATCTGCAGTTTTCTTTTATGTCCCGATTTGCTGTTGATTCTTTAACTTAAACGCGCGTAAAACGTTTTGAACATAATTCACACCTCAACAACAAATTCTAGGTTACATGCATTCCAAGCCATGGATCAGGACGACGAGGAATAAACTGAATTATTTATCTGAGTACTGTGCCAATAAAAATGTATACAAATCTTTCTTTTCCAAATCTGCAATGTCTTCACTCTGTGTGAACTTACCCTGCTGCAGGAGACAGCTTCACGCTTTGAGTGGTTTATACACGTGCCGTCCGATATTGTAGCGTTATCGCTAGCGGCCATGTAGGTTCCAGAATAACCTTTTGTGTTCGCGAAGTGCGCGTAACATTAACAAAGCGGTTTGATTTTAAGATTGATATGTGAGGTTTAACGTCCCAAAACCACCAAATAATTATGAGAGGCACCGTAGTGGAAGGCTTCTGAAATTTCAACCACCTGGAGTTCTTTTAACCTGCACCCAAATCTGAGCACACGGACCTAAATCATCTTCGCCTCCATCGAAAATGCAGCCGCCGCAGCCGGGATTCAATCCTGCAACCTGCGGGTCAGCAGCCGAGTGCCTTAGCCACTACACCACCGCGGCGGGGCGCGTAATGGTGTTACTACAGTCTCAAAACTTCTAAAACACTGCAGGCGTGGTTTGCGCTGAAATTACGTATAGTGTAAAGGGGTGACAGCAAAGTTTGAGGAAGAAACGTAGAAATGTATAATGTGTTTTACTGTGCCGTTAAAAATGACTTGCAAGTCTGCGCCTATGTGAAAACACTCTTGTATGTGTGTTTTCGCGCTTTTACTCCCTTGCTCTATATACAGTGAACCAACTCGCCCAAAAAGAAGTTTTTATAAAGTTACTTTCATATACAGTGGGCCTTTCTTTCTGTGTCTCGACTTCCCCTTGCTTCACTGACCTTCTATTAAGCCACATTGTCCACGAAACATGCCAGGCAAGACGTCCATGGATTTTGTACACGAAAAGGTCTCGTCCCTGTAGTAAGTGTCCTCTTCTGTCCTGTAAAATCATCGTGGAAGCATGTGAAAAGACTTTGCAGAATTTTTTTTATCAGACCTCTGACATGTCCGACTGTTTTATGACTGCCATGGTTGCGTCTTAGATGTTTCAAGTTCGATACTGAATGGCTGGCGTTGAAGAAGGTCGCATCTTTTATGCAGCCAATGGCACAACCCACAGAGTGTAGGAGAAGGAGCATTTTAGATAATTGCTGCTGTGTCAAGAACGCAAGAAAACGGAAGAGCAGCCGCAAGGTAGGAACGTTCTGGGCGTCTTGGGTGAAGTTCACATACCTGAGAAGCTTATGCGTGAAAGGCCCTAAATTTGGCATTCAACCTGGTGTTTCCGTGCATAAACTAATCACCGTGAACCGGAAAGTGGCCGACAAGGTTGCAGATGAAGATCGGGACCATTGCCTTCTTGTAGGTGTTGGATGTTTGAGACATATTGCTCCTAAAAACTTGCACTCGCACCGTAAGAGCTTCTTAGCTAAATTGGAAAAAGTTCTTTAAGAGCAGTGACTTAATGCTTTTGCAAGCCGATAAAGAGGGTGGGCTCGCTGTTTTGCCCAACGGGACTAGAACAATATCAAAGCTCCGTATCTCCGCCAGTGGAGAAGGGGGGGGGGGGTCTGAAAGACGGTCGGCGCTGCAGTCAAATGTTGCGATATACTCTCGGCGCATCGTCTGCTAGGATATACTCGCGGCGCATTGTCTGCATTTCTACGGCGGCATACTTCGGCGGTTCGTCGCTCTGTTGCTCGCGGCGGCTCTGCTGTTGTACTCACAGAACACTTATATAGTAAACTTAAACGTCTATCATACTTCCAGTCGACATTCTCGCATCAGATTTGGGGACTGCATGCTTATGTGGATATGCCCTGTGTACATTGGCCCGGATGCATTGCTCATTACAGGTTCGCTAAGAATCGATGCCCGGCCTATATTTGAGCTGTCTGCATTGCGTTTGAGCTCCAAGTACGGGAGGTTCTAGGTTAATGACAATTCCAGCTTAGTTGTATCACCACCGCTACCATTTTGACCACAGCAGTCTTGCCTATAGACGAAAACGACTCAAAACGTCTTTAAAAGCACCAAACAAGATGACCTACTGAAACACAAAAGCGCTCTAGGAAAGCAGTAATCGTGTTTCCAACTAGTTACAAAAAAGGCGTTCTCGAAAAAACAGTACCCGTGCTTTACACTTTTCACCAGACGAGTCTTCGCGACACGGCTATCAATTGAGAGCAGAGGGCAAAATGTTACAGCAACTTTCCTGGCATTTTTCATCTTTTCAAAAAGGAGTCGTTCTTCTTGATTGGTTTTCTTGCAAAAAAAGAAACATGGCTTATCTCTATTTTTTGGAATCGCTATAACACGAAAGTGAAATCGTGCGATCGAATCCCGGCTGCGGCGGCTGCATTTTCGATGAAGGCGCAAATGCTGTGTGCCCGTGTGCTCAGATTTGGGTGCGCGTTAAAGAACCACAGGTGGTCGGAATTTCCGGAGCCCTCCACTACGGCGTCTCTCATAATCATATGGTGGTTTTGGGACGTTAAACCCAACATATCATATTATCACGAAAGTGAAACGTGTCTTCACAGAGATAGTCGAGCGTTTATTGTGCATTCTTTCAGCAACAGCAACAAACTGCAAAATCACGTGAAAAATGGCAAGAAGCTCTAAACTTGCAGCGCACCCCAGCGCCTCCTTTATTTTATCAATGCCAGCCGATGCACCCAATCCAGCCATACCCCACCATCTCTTCTAGCCCTTCCCTGCTCTCACCGATCGCCTAGCCTTCGCAAGTGGCTTGTGGTCATGGGGGAGAGCCTCGCGACGGAAATCATATCGAGTAAATTTTTGTTCAGTTGTATACAGATCCGTGGGAAGCATCTTGCATTCCTCGTGTTCATAATGTAGGCTGTCCCGCTGGCTCTGCAAGTGACACGGTGTTTTCAGATGGCGTGTCCTCATTCGTGGCGCTATGCTGGCAACCAATGGCTGAAGCGTCACTTCAACGCTACTGCATGCGCTGACTTTTAAGAGCGCAGTGATGCAGCAGCGGCATTGCTTCGAGCCACAATAAAGAAGGAGCCCGAAAGAACAAATCCCACCGACGTATGATATTGGAGTGGTAAACACGACTATAGGGAACACAGGCTCAACTTTGCGCAGCGCCGTTCGCAGCCCTAGCGGATAGAGGGCAAAGCTCCGGTCGCTCAGACGGGCCGCGCTTTCTTGGTTTTCCCATTGCGCGCTCGGAAAACGTGTTCCTTGGGGCTTTTATCTCGCATTTCGCTCGCTATCGGCGCCACTCCTGCGTCATCCTAGAAAGCAGGCACGCACTCCTGTTGTATCGCGAGTTTTGAAATGTCAAAAAGCTTAAAACTGCCCGTGAAGTTCTACTGTTTACAATGCAAACAGTGTGAGAAGCAATGCCATCAAGAGTGAGTTATGGAAGTTTGTCGACACTTCTGCGGTCTTGTCAGTTCGAAGAATATTTTGTCGTCCACAATATTAACAACTAATAAGGGACGGAAACGTGATGGTTGGACACATATGAAAAGGAAGTGCGTTTGTAAACCTAAAAACAGCAAATAGACAACCGCAGTGCATTT